TACTGAAGCCGAGAGTGAGGAGAACAGGACAGAAAAAGGGAAAAAAAAAAAGAGAGAGAGAAGAAGACATCAAGAAAAAAAAATACGAGTGTGTCCATTTGAACCGTGAGTAAGGAAGGTATATGGATTTAAGTTTAAGCATAAATTGTGATTAATTTTAGTATATACGTATTTGTATATGTGTGGGCTGTTTTAACATGTTTTAATTAGTAGGTTGTTTTAATGTAAATACATGAGCTATTTTATTTTAACGGGTTATTTTTATTCAAATTTCATAGGCTGATTTAGTTAATGTCAAAATAGATTTTGTATGGGTGAAATTAAATATATTTAGCACAATTAATGGGCTGTTAAAAATAGGTTTCAAATGGGTATTAAACTAAAGGTGAGAAAAATGTAAAAAATGGCTATTTGAGATGTTCAGTATGTTTTGCTAGAGCTAGGTTAAAAATGAAAATTATGGTAATGAAATTGGGGGTTTAAAGACTCAATTAGGGGCTTTTTTGCATTGATTAAATGTGTATGTGAATTTAAGTGTGACGGTTTTAAATAAAAAGTGTGATAGAAGTGGAAAACGAGTGTCGGTGGCGCTGAAACCCTGATTTCTAAATGTTAATATCACATGTGTGAATTTTAATCCAAATTACCTGAAATTTTGCATGCAGCATTTTTAAATGATACTTGATGTGATAATGTGACTTTCGAATGTAAATGAGTATAATATCCAGTGTGAAATGTATGAAATACCGGAACGTAATTTTTAGGATTTAAGGTCGAAATGTGTGAAAATGGGCCTCCGGTCAATGTGTTTGACCTGCTTAATCCTAATTATGATTAATGTGAATAATTTTGGAAATTGGGGGAAGAAATGTGATCCGTAGAACAAAAGTGTTAATGTGTGAGTAGATAGTATGGTAACTAGGGTTACTAGGGCACTTTGAGGTGCATCATTTGTGTGCATTAATGCATGATTAACTATTAAATATAATAAACATATTGATATTATAATTATAAGTGTGTTAGGTGGAACGAATGAGGCAGTTAGTATTAGAACAAATACGGTGACACCGAAAGGATCCACCAATAGGACCGAAGGGCCATAATTTTGTACATCTGAGATGGGTGTATATATTTATATATTTTGAAAATGCTATTATAAGATGATAATAAATGATAGAATTTAATAGCATTTCTTCAGGATTATGTGCTACTTGCCTATGTGATTGAATAATATTTTGTACTGTGTATTGTGTATTGTGGAATGTGGCGCACTATTTGAGACAGGGACGCTGATATCTGATCACTAGGCATGCAGTGGTGTGTTAGCACTGTGGTGTTTCCGAGAGGTTGGGGAGACACGGATCCATGTGAGATTGATTACCCAATAAGGAGTAGTACGGATGTGATGTGGCTTGTAAATTCTTTGAAATTATATTGATGTTGTTGTTTGATACGTGTATCTATATTGTATTTACCTACTTCAGTGTATTACTATCATTTTCATTTCATATACAACATTTATACTCATTGAACACATGGTTTAGCTCACACCCCTACAACTTCTTCTTTTCAGGTACTATAGAGGAGGATGCAGACTGGTTCAGTGTCCAGTTGATTGAGTCTTGTGCAATGTTAGTGTGATATCACTCAGGTTGAGTGTCAGTATGACTAATTGATGGATTGTGTATTATATTTATGAAATATTATTATAGCAGGTTAATAGTATATATTTGTAAATTGACTCAACAAGCATACCTTGTGAAAAATACTATATGGGTGTGGAATTTTGTATATGTCTATAATCTGGGAAACAAACAATTAGTACAGTGTTTTATATATGAAATAGGTTATGAGCAGATTTTACCATCATGCTTAATGACTAAGATGATGGGTGGTGTTGTTGCACCTGTAAGATTATTTAATATTTAATTAGTCTAGATTATAATAATTGTAAACAGGTGTATTAAAAACTTAGTTGCATCTCATCCTTTGGAGATTGAGATGGGGTGTGACACACATTGCAATAGACTTCTTCTAACTACAGTAGAGGGTTTAATGTGCTCTCAAAGTTGGTTATATACGGAAGAACGAGGTAATAAAATATTATTTATATATGCATCATAATTTTTTTTTTTGGGGGGGGGGGGAAGGGTAAAGTATGACTAATGCATTTTTTTTTGTCAAGTTCATCTACTTTGAAGGGCCTAAAGTATATCGTTTTAGTTAAAAAGGTATATCGTTTTGATGATAAGGTATATCGTTTTAGTTAAAAATTTCTTTTTGGAAGAATCTAATTTTTTTTTCTTTTAATGATATAGAAAAATGATATTGAAAAAATAGATTCTACTACCACCGAGGGTGGCAAGAGATGATTGAGTTTGTAATTTTTCAATTTCAACCAATCATTTTTATTAGTAAATACAAAATATTTTTATGCAGTTATTATAGTTTTTTATGTTTTATTTTCTTTATTAAATTACAGGGGTGAAACTACATGGCAAAAAAGTTTTCTCATTACTTTTTTTGTGTTATGTTATGTCATGTTATGTTGAATTATATTAAATTCAAGTAGTATTTTGGACATTTATTATTCGTATTTATGTTGGAATATGTTATGCTACATTACGTTATGTTAGATTATTTAGAATGTTAGATTATTTAAAATATTGGATTTATTTAGAATTTTGAATTATGTTGGCTTGAACTTAGGCTTAGGCTTGGACTGGAGTTTAGGCAGGTAGGGGGGAAGCGGGGACAGGGGCGGGGTTTAGAAATTTACCTGCAGACAGGGATAAGAATGAAAATTATATCCGTTAATCGGGGGGGGGGGGGAACTGGGGATGGACGAAGGTTTTTTAAGCGGGTACGGGGATGAAGACTATACTCCCCGCCCTCGCTTCGGTCCACTAACATCCCTACTTATTTTAGATGTCCTTACTTTGGTGTCTTCCTCACCTCAGGCGCCCTCACCTGTAGTGCCCTTGCCTTGGTGTGCCTGTCTTGCCCTCCTTGGCACCTGCCTCCTCGCCTCGCCTCAAGCGCCCGCACCTCTGACGCCTTCGCTCTTGGCACCTGCCTTGTTAGTTTTGGTATCTCCCCTCCTCCTTTCCATCCCTTGGGAGTGAACCTCCTGAGTCACCAAAAGTTCGGTCAAACCTTACCTTTTCTCTCATGCAAGCAGCCTTAGTCTCCAACTTAGCGTTTCTCTTGTGAGTCTCCAAAAGCTCAGCCTAACTCCACCCTCACGCGAGCAATCTCAGTCTCCAACTTAGATGTTTTCTCATGAGTTGCCAAAAACTCAACTTACTCCACTTTTGCTCTCTCATGAGTCACTAAAGACTCGGTCTACTCTGCATTTGCTCTCACTTAGGTAGCCTCAGTTTCAACCTGTAATTTAGTGGCTCTCTCTCGAGTAGCCAAAAGTTTGACAGCAAGAGGTGCAACTCTCTAATGAGTCACCCTCAACTATTCCTCTATAGCCCATTGTGTCTATCTTTCCCTCATCAGAGTATCTTGAGAACTATGATTTCATCCATTTAGAATGAATGTTGTCCTTTCCCACAAATAGAACATGACACATAAAAATGATACTTCTGCACTAGTTTGTGGTTGAAATTCAAATTTGGTGGAAAACAGACATTTTTTAGGAAAATTCGGTATCCAAACCGCCATAGAAAACTTGATTCTAGTATATCTCAAAAAAAAATACCCAGATTCACAAAAAAATTGTCTCAAATGGACAATCGAACACAAAGTTATGGCTATTCAAAATTTTGTCATTTCTTCATGTTTTTCTCATATTCCACCAACACCAACAGCCAACTCCTGCAAGTTTTCACGCCAACACCCACGCCTCAACTGTGCACCAGAACTTGCGTCCATTGCCGCACCTTGTCCCTCGCGCCCGCTTCCTGGATACCTATACCCTCAATTGTTTGTTGTTAGTGCCTAGGTCCCCTAACGCCCATTGTTTCTCGCTTTCTGCATCCTCTGCCCCTCTCTCGCCCATACTTGGCCTGCTAAAAAATATTCCTATAACTTTTTATTGATGCCATCTCCCCTAAGTCCCATTGGAATCCAGTAATGGGGGGCAAATGACCGACCCATTTCAGACCAAACTCAGATCACAAATGATGAGCCCAAACTAGACCCATATCAGAGATGCAGACTAGACCCAACTCAAATATACAGGCCAAGCCCATTACAGGATCTAGGAAGTTCAGTCGGGTTAACTTCATCATCTTGAGAGACTTAGTCTACAACTGATACACGAGGAGATCTCCGTGGGACACAATCATCGGGTGCACGTTGCCTCCTTCACGTAATAACCTCGCTTGCTACAAGAACGGTGCCACCTCCACCGAACTAATTCACATGTTATGAGAACAACACATTAATTTATTAGGAGACACCTATAAATTATAAAATTCATCTACATAAGGAGCATTAGCCACATTTGAATACTCTACACTCCTTGACTAATAAAACACTTCAGTCATTGTAGCCTTTTATAGTAGAGTAGATCACTCTGACCAAATTACTTAATTTGTGTTTTGCTAATATTAAATCTCCTTCTTAATTACTATATTAAAATATTTGATAGATAGTGCATAATTATATTTTGTGCATTGCCGACATTAATTTAAAAAAAGAATAATGTTATGCTTACTAAAACTTTTACCAAAAAATATTTTTACTAAATGAATTGACAATTCTATATCCAATCAAAAATATTGTAATCAACATTTAATGAGTTCAAGACTGATCTAAAGCTGCTAACTCATTTGGTAAAATTATTTTTTAGTAAAAATTTTGATATGTATAACATTTCACTTAAAAAAATATTCGTACCCGTTCTCAATTTTTAATTTTTTTTGATTTAAACCATTTAATGGACAAGAATGAATGCTGTTATGGCGTGGCGTTACAGGAGCTGCGAATTGTTTCGCGGATAGAATGTGGTGGAATATCTCAGCTAAGACGTTGAAGGCGCAACGGGGGTTTGCGGTGGTCGCAGAGCGCAATGGGAAAAGGAGTAGAAAAGGTCGCCTCGCCCTAACCTAACCTAAACGCTGTCAAAATGACTCTGTCCCCAACCATAACAAAGTCTCAACAATTCCAATAAAACATCATCTTTCCCCCTAGGCAGGAAAAAATGATAGCGTCTCAAGCACACACACTGTCCAACAGCTACAGTAATCGTTGTTCCGTGCCTCTCTTCACCGTGACACCTCATCCTCTGATATTCCTTAAGTTTCGTTCTTCAATGGCCACAACTGACCAGACATGCAGGAGGAGGAGGAGAAATTGGAGGAAGATAACCACATTTTTTCCGTCCTCTTCAGCGAAAGGAGCTGCTGCTACTGATTCGTCCTTCTCTGCGCCATCAGGGCCGCCACCACCACCACCGTCCTCCCCTCAATCAAACCAGGTTTCTTTTATTTCCTCCTGTTTTTCCTTTCTTTTCATGTTCCTCTTTCAATAACATGCGTGTGTGCGATCACATACCCGAAATTTTTGTTTGGAGGATTTTAATTGATGTCTTTCCAACACTTGAAAGTTGAAACTAACATCCATCCTTTTGTTCTGACACTTCCGTGCAATTATTTGTTGATTGTGAAAATAGGATGTTCCAACTCTTGTCAGGAGGTTTTGGAAAGTTGCCGCTCCATATTGGTCCTCGGATGATAAAGTCCAAGCCAGATTACAGCTGGCCGCTGTATTTGCCCTCACTTTAGGAACCACTGGAATCAGTGTCGGTTTCAGTTTCCTCGGTCGTGACTTCTATAACGCCCTTGCCAGTAAGAACATATTATTTACTATTGTCATGTGCGTTTTCTTCCTTTCCCCAACCACTTCTTTTCAACAGTTGTTAGTGTTTTCATATTGTTTTTTTTTATTAGTAGTCATAGTAAATACGTTTCAATTTTTTGCAAGACAAAGACCAAGAACAGTTCAGCAAGCAACTCTTATACTATCTTGCCGGTTTTGCTGGTGGAATTCCGGTGAGCACATCCGCTGCACTCTTTTAGGTATTGCTCGTCTTTTCCGTGTTACTGGGAAATGGGAAAGCTGAATTGCTGAAACCGTATGGCGAAAGCAATGCAGCACATACTAGGATTGGGAAGCAACTCAATTTCGATGATACAAGAATTTTCTTTTAAAGAACACGAGTTACTTTAGCTCTTGGTTTTCTCTAAGAGCTCTGGGCATGTTGAAAATTATGCCAAAGACAACTACTGCTACAAAGCATAAGTATTTAAAATAAGGGGTATTTTCATTTGTCTATCTAGTTTCTCCAATGTGTAATCTAGATGGTGGAGAATGTGTGTAAGACTTTGCACCTTCTTATGTTTCTATTGAGGAATCTCTATGTGTGAGTTGACTCCTTGTCCTACTGGGTGGTATTGTGAAGGAAATTCATCACACAAGAAATTAAATTCTGGGAAGGTCTTAGTTCCTTTAAGTGAAGCTCCTGTTCAAGGGAAGGGTTCCAAACCACTTACCTTTACATTTGTGCCTCCTAGATAATTTTCTGACAAGTACTTCATGGATATAAATATGGAGACATTGCGTGTTTGTTGGAATATCTCTTTTTTTTTTTTTTTTCAGTTTCAGAGATTATGCGTCTTGTTTTTGGTTCAATAATTGGGCTTGTATTTATAATTTTTGGTCCTCAATCTTATTTTTATGGTTATTTTGCAGTTTTTTGTGCTGAGAGATTATGCAAGAGACACTCTTGCTTTGAGATGGAGGTCTTGGATGACTACCTATTATATGGAACGTTATCTAAAGAATCAGACCTTTTACAAAATACAGTCCCAATCGATGATTGATAATCCAGATCAGCGAATTGTTGACGACCTAAGTTCCTTTACAGGAACAGCACTCTCATTCTCTCTGATACTTTTCAATGCAGCTGTAGACTTGATATCTTTTAGCAATATCCTCTATGGTATCTATCCACCACTGTTTCTTGTACTGCTTGTATATTCAATTGGTGGCACAGCTATCAGTGTGTTTCTTGGGAGGGTAATTTCCCAACTTTAAAGGTCATAGTTTGCTACTTGCAATGAAGCTTTTTGCAATAGGAGATGGTATTTACTCCAAATGATAAGATCATTTTTATCTTCCGTTTCAGGGATTGGTGACCCTAAATTTCTTACAAGAGAAAAAAGAAGCAGATTTCCGTTATGGACTTGTACGCGTTCGAGAAAATGCTGAATCAATTGCATTCTATGGTGGTGAGGGAAACGAAATGCAACTACTGCTGCAGCGTTTCAGAAGTGCTTTTGAAAATTTAACTGTATGGAAACCTAATCTGTTGTCATTTCTCCTCCCATATTTGATTGTTCGCTTGAATTCAGGCTAACACCTTTATATTGTAGACTTCTTGCTGTCTTATTTTTTGTTTCCTAGACATATCTATTTTTTAGGATCTGAGAACCATTGTGGTTTGCATTTATAAACAAATATGATGGACATGATTGTGAGATTTTCAACAAACTTGTAAAAATTGAGAAAATTCTTGAAGAAAGGAGGAAAAACAATGAAATTCCTCTCTCCCATATGTGTGTGGGCTTGCATGTGTATTGGAACAGAAGTGATATTTTTTGAGTTGAACTAGTTAGCTTGCGCTATATAACATTTCCGCCATTCTGTGAAATGCTGGGAAATAGGAATTGAGATGGATAAGGACAAAGCCTCCAAACTATTGTATTTAACATGGCTGATTTCCACGATTTTGTTTTATGGAACACCATGCAAAGAGGTTTTAAAACTTTCAAGACTAAACCACTTTTGTGACACTGATCCCATAAAAAGCATGCCATAGACCTTCTGGGACTTCAGACCCAAACTGATCACTTGAGGTTATCTTAAACATTGGGGTGATCGCCTAAACATGACAAAATGTTGATATGGGCTTGGGCACTAATTAGATTGTGAAAATTGCATGTAACAGTGGGGACCACCTTTGAAAATAATTGTGAAAATCCTATGAGCATTTGAACTTGGAATTTAGAGACCATGTGATATAAGGGAATGTAATCCATCAATAGTAGGACAGAGATCAACAGAGAGAATAAATAAGGAGAAAGAGAGGAAAGAAGAAGGGAAAGAGAACGGAAGGAAGAATGGCAGAAATAAGAAAGAGAAGGGCAAGGAGAGAAGAAGAAATGAGGAGGAGGAGAGCAAGAGACAACTGAGAGAGCATAGGGAGAAAACTTCAAGGCTGTAATTAGATTCCTTTGTCAAAACTAACAGTCCAATACACTGGGCATTTACTAGCTGTCTGAATACATAGAAGAAAGCAATCTTTAAACTTCTAAATAAAGCCAAAAAATATGGAATTAAACCTAAAATCTAATCCTCAATTTGACATGTTATCTAAACCCTCTGTGAACCCCATCAAAAGGAATCAGGGAGACATAAAGTTCATGGAGTGGGGGTTGCTTAGAATGTATGAGTTTTAGAGAAGCATTTTAGTTTGCAATTGAGAAGTGATTACAGGTCATTAAATGGAGAATGTATTGAGATGAGTGGATAGTGGATTTGCTGAGAACTGGGGCACTCTAAAAATGTTTGAGGGACCAGCAGATATTGGGCCAATACTTCTGCCTGGCATATGTCTAATCATTTCCCTCACTTGCAGCAAATACTTTTCTAGACTGCCAAAGCAAATAGCTTCCAAAATAAAAACCTTTGATTGTTACCATCTTCTGAAACTACAATTTGTGATTTCCAAATCTTGAAAGGTAGGGTTAAGATTGGTTTTTTATCTCCTTGGGTGTCTTTTAATGGAGAAGTTATGGTTTAGTTTGGAGCTAAAAGTAGATATCTGCTTATGTTACAGTGAGTTGATATAGTGTTTGAGCCCCCTTTGTTCTCGAGTCAACTTGGCTGAGATGTCTCAGACTTGGTTGATTGTAAGATCCAAGTCCCTACTGTAAAATAGAAGAGAGAAAAAAGTCTTCCACCTGGAAACTTCTTAAGCAATAAAAAGTTGGATGTGTTTTTGTACTTTTTGAGTTGTCTGAATATTGTTCAATTGGCATTGAACCTTGGGTTATTTACTTATTTGAATGTCTGTGGCATTGATATTGAGATTATGTTGAGTTTGTATTTTCCTTGAATATTCTTATAAATGTTTTTGCATGCATGTGGTTGTATATTTGGACATTTTGCGTGGTCATACACATTTTGATAATGTCTTGTTTTATTATTGTTTAGACTCACCAACATCTTTACTTCCACAGCAATTGTTGATATCTTCCAGAAATCTGGAGTTCTTCACCAATGGCTATCGCTATCTGATTCTGATTCTTCCTGCTGCAGTTGTTGCACCCATGTACTTCTCCGGAAAAATTGAATTTGGTGTCATAAATCAATCCGTATCTGCTTTCAATCATATTCTTGGAGATTTCTCAGTCGTTGTGTACCAATTTCAGGCAATCAGTGCCTTTTCAGCTGTCATAAACCGACTAGGTACCTTGTCTTGTCCTCTTTCAGATTGCTTCTCTGATATATCTCCAAGTGAAAAAATTATTGTGAGAAACTTGCTAATCTCATATAATGCCATCTGAAACAGCATCTTGATCCATTTAATTTGGGGATTCTATGGAAAGGAAGAGAAGACCAGTCAGTGTTTGCAGCAAGCATAAATTCATTTTCTGCTTGGCAGACATGTTGTTTTCATGGATCATTTGTAAATTTGCTAGTGCACCCATGCTTTGTGGTTGGTTTTGTAACTTATACACACATAGTTAACTAATATTTTCTTCATATTTTGTATAAGAGTTTCAAACAAATCATATTCAAGATACTGTACTGGCAAATGGTCATGAATAATAAAAGCTAATTTTTGCATATTTGCATCCTGTAAAAAATTAAAATTGTAACAAATTAAAATATGAGTTTAAAGAACAACAAAATAAAACATAACAAGTTAGGGTTACAATAGGGTTATGATGTACGATTACACAGATGCTTATGGCCAAATTACCTCTGCACTTTCCTAATACTCCTCTGTGGCTCTGGCCCACGTGAAGGTTGAACTTTAACCTCAGTGACCTCTCTTGCTTTCGTTTTCTTCTCCACTACTCTCCTTGTTAAGGCGGTCCTTTCCACAGCATGCCTCGTCAATGGCATTTGGGAATGTTTAAATGTTTATTTTTGTTGTTGAATACTTGAATATAATGATTGGTAGACAAGGGAAAGGGCCATAAAAAAGATGGTAATCCCTGGACAAAATTTTGGAATAAAATGTTCGAGAAATTGCCTGCTTAAATTTTGTAGTCATTTGTTGCTATGTATTGTTCCAACTTGGTACTTATAAAGTTACAATTATGTGAAACAAACATATTGTCTGGTACATGTTCTGTTCTTAATATCAATGAGTTTATTTTGCAAAAGTGCACTTCCTTAATTCCACCATGGATTATTTGTTATTTGACTTGATAAGATAGGATTATTTCGACGAATCTATCGATGTTTGGTGAACTACACTCGGGAGCCTCTTGTTTTGATGTCCAAAACACACATGTCTTGTATAGTTTGATGACTGCTGTGGACAGGCTATTGACAGCTACATGACGAGAGCTAGGCTTGCCGGTAAAAAGAAGCAGCCCACTGTGTTTTAAGCCAATAGGAATCCCGAGTTTGCTCCTGGCATGTTCAATAGCAACCTTTGGGCCATAGAATCGGTGCCAACGTCTGATTCTAGGTGCATATAGAGGAAGGGGGCTCAGCAGCCAGGGTAGTGAATCTTACTGCACTCTAGCTACGAATGAGGAAATGGCTTAAAATAACCCTTTGAACTTCATTCATTTTCATTGCTACTTGAGCTCTTTGGTTGAACATTTGCTTATACTTGATCTTTGAAAACAATAATTCTAGTGGAAGGGAAAACCACAATTGATGTAGTCAGGTAATTGAGAAAGATATAGTTGCCTATAATTCATCTGAATGTACGGTTGATCTCAAGTAATTGGAACAAAGCTCATGGAATACAAAATCCTTGGAGGTTTTCCTACAAGTGGAATTTGCAGTAGTGATAGTGCCAATGCAAGTTTCAATGAGGAGAAGATCAGATATTGTCCTAACCCCGTTCTTATGCTTGTTAACCAAAGTTTTTACCACTGCATCAAGCAAGGCCTTGTTGAATTTGGTGCAGATTATTTGATTTCGACTTCAAATGATGCCATCTTTTGCCTCTATTTTTAAGTGTCTGTATGATTCTTTGATTCATTTATTTTATTCGGCTGGAAACAATCTGCATTCTTGTTTATCGCTTGTATTTGCTTCAGTTTTTATATGGAGGGCAACAAATATCAGATAAGCTAGAGGTGGTACCTGTTACTTTCAAGGAGATTTTGTATGGTATGAAAAATGTGAACTGCTTTTCGACTCACTTTGAATAACAGATATTTTCTTGTTCCAACCTTTGCATCTCCTTAATAATTATATTGAAGGTTTGAAACTTATGTAACTGTATCTTTAGATGTAGTTTTGTCTCTTTTTTGTGTGTGTGCACATGTATTGGTGTGCATGGGTATGTATATGAGGGTATGTGTTTTTTACTGTAATATTACATAGGACTGTAACTTCCTCATGCTTGGGGCCCTGTATTCATTTATTAACTGTTTTGGTTTCTCCGAGCTCCTATACTAAAGGAAGATGAGAAGTTGTATTCACCGATAAAATATTTTCAAAATGTACATTCTCTAAAGAAGTGTGACTGACAATGGTGTCATGCACAAGGGGAATGAAGAATTTTTTGTTTTGGTATGGATGAAAACGACTGCTAAATATGTTTCTCATGTTTATAACTTTATATTCACTCCACTATTCCTAGGCCATCAAATAGTTCTATTTGGCGCCTATTGGTGGGGTGCATCAGTTGTTCAAATCTCTGAATAAAATTCTATCTACATGCCACACTTTCTTCCTGAATTTGTCTAATGGGTTGCTAGCTTGTTTCTAAATATAGCATTTGGAAGTATGGTTGAGGACCTGAGTTTGGTAAATCTGCATGTTTCTGAATACTTTTTTTTTTTTTGTTTAATAAGAACATTTTGAGTTCAATTCTCATCTCCTGTTATAATTTTCTTTCACAAACCATGCTGCTTTTATCATGCTGACCATAGGGATCTTTTTTTGTTGGATGCCATTTAATTTAACAGCCATCTGAATATCTGCTAAAATGTTGGCATCTTTCAAATATGCAGGGGAATTTGATGATGTTTTGGATACCAGTAACCGTAAAAGTCTATCTGGTCCTTCAAAAGAGATTCATCTTAGATATTGTGATATAGAAAATTCAACTTTCTTGAACTCTAATGGATCTGTACCCATTGGCAACTGTAGAATGTTACTGGCTATTGAGAGTTTGACCCTACTGACACCAGCAAGTAAAGCAATGCTTATCAGGGACTTATCATTAGAGATTTTTGAGAAGGATCATTTGCTGGTTAGGTTCTGTTTATTTGTTATCGTAGTGTAATGCTAAGCTGGTAAGCAAGTGCTGGGTGAGATAATAGCTGGTGTATGGTTGCATTAACAGGTTATGGGACCAAGTGGGAGTGGTAAAACATCATTATTAAGAGCTATTGCTGGTCTTTGGAGTACTGGGAGTGGAGTAATCAGATTCTATGTGAAAAATGCAAAAGATCCTGAACCACCGTTACCTGTAGATGTGGCTCCTTGTGTAGTAACTGCCTCAGATGATGTATATTGGGACTTTGGAAGACCCATATGTGGAAATTCAACAAGTGTATTTTTCCTTCCTCAGAGACCATATATGGTTTTGGGAACACTTCGTCAACAGTTGCTTTATCCTACATGGACTGAAGATTCAGTTTCAATGTCAGATACTTCTAAACCCACTGGTATAACATCTGAATTCTATCGCTATGTTGTTTTAGCTAAACTAAATAACTGAAAAACCATACAATGGCATTATCTCCAAAGCAATTATCATTTGTACATTACTGACTTACTGAGGCATGCATTTATCTCTTGAATCCTTATTTTATGAAAAATGAGAGTGGAACATTGATAGGACGCCGATGTTTTCCAGAAAACCACGAAAGAAAAAAATAAGGGCTTTGACTGAAAGTTTTATTGGGTGCAAACAATACTTTCTCGCAAGTCAGTAAACCAGATTATAAGTATATATATATTTCCCCAAAAGATAAATATGTTCATTAATATCTTTAGTTGGACACTATTATTTTACGATTTGTATCTTATTTGATATTTCTTGCAGATTTTTTTCACCAAGTCTGACACTTCAGCTCGTTTTCAATTCTTATTTGAAAAAATAGCAAGCTGTAGCGATGAAGATTCTAGTCCCCAACTGAAGATCTTAACAAATAAATGACAATCAATTATAATATGTTTCGTGCGCTCATGAAATTCTGAATTGTAAGCCATATGGATAGCACTTTTATTGTCACAGTAAAAAAGAGTCGGAGAGAATAGAACAACACCCATATCAGTATAAGTCAACAAAGCTAAACTATTTTCGCAGAAGTATGTGCTATACCGTGATACTTTGTCTCAACAGTAGAATGAACAATAACTGATTGTTTATTACTTTTCTAAGAAATAAGAGAACCACCAAAAAAAACACAACCTAATGGTAGACTGGTGATTCGTACTATCCCCAGCCCAATTAGTATTGACATATGTATGTAAAGTCAAAGAGGAGGTCGACAACAATAATAAGCTCTAATATATGATGTTGCGAAATACGAAGTAAGACAACCCAATGAGTAGTACGAGGAGCAGAGACAAATTGACTAATAGTAGGAACTGCATATATAATATTTGGGATAGTAACAGTTGACTAATAGTAAGATAAATCAAACAATCAACCAATTCACAATACAATGTAGGATCAGCAAGAAGAACACCATCAGAACTTATCATCAGTTCTGTTCAGTGGGCGCGGTAAATAAGCTCATCAGCAAATAAAAGGTAATCTTTAGTAGACGAGGCAACGTAAATACCCAATAAATAACGCTGAGGACCCAAATTCTTCATCTCATACTCATATAGTAGGAGGACTAATCCATGGGTAGAACAATGAACAAATAAAGCAAGATCATGAGCACCAAGAACAAAACCAAACTAAATAACAACAAATTGAAAATGTTTATACTAGGCTCTGTGGCCGACGCAAGCGCCAGGCATAACTAGTAAGATGAGAAAGACCAAGGTGGATGCATCTAAACCTCCTCATTGAGATACCAATTCAAAAATATATTTTTAACGTCAAGTTCAAAAGTTTAGAAACTAATAGTCAACACCATATTTTTGAGAAAATCCTTAAAAACTAACAGAATTTTATAACGCTCAAGGGAGCCATCAGAATGAGTCTTAGCCTTGTATATTCATTTACAACCAACAATATTATTAACTCTAGGCAAAGAAACAATCTCAAGTACTAGCCTTATCAAGAGCTGTCAATTCATCGTGCATTAAATTAATTTAATTAGGATGAGTACATGTAGCTTTATAAGATTAAGGTTCAAAATAAGAATGACCATATGATAGGTTCGTCGAGTCTTTTCTCTTCTTATTTCAAATATTGCGGTAGAGATAAAATTAGGGTAACATATGACTCATTGTCATTTGTATCTGCAAAATATTTCATTCATTGCTCTCCTTATATGTCTTTGTCTTCAGTTCTTCATGTCCATAACTTTTCTACTAATTTACTCTTAACCAGTAACATTAGAAAGTCTCTAAATTGTATTATAACATTCTTCTCCTCTCATTTTATCCTTCTGGAACTGGGAATGGGGAGAACGATGGCAATGGTAAAGCTCTTAGTGGTTTGTATCTGTTGGAGGGTCAACCTCATTAGGCATTTCAAGCTGCTAGTACGGTGGCTCTTCAATAGTTACATCAATGGCATCGAAGACTTGATTATCCATCAATAGGAGTATTAGATAATTTTTTTCTTGCTTTGGTGAACCAATATAATAAAGGCAATTTTCTTTGTGATGTTTGCGAATTTGCCAAGTATACAAGAATTTCTTATCCTAATAATAATAATTGAAGCATTGATCCTTTTATAATTGTTCATTATGATGTGTGGGAACTATCTCATGTTATTTCTCTTACTGGATATCAATAGTTTGTTACCTTCATTGACTACTACACTTTGGTTGCTTGTGTTTATTTGTTGCATAGTAATGATGAAATGTTTATTTATTTCAAGAATTTTTATATGTTGATAAATATTCAGTTTGATGCCAAAATTGAGGTTCTCAGTATTGAAAATAGAACTGAGTACTTTAATGGATAAGAAATATAGAATTCTCCACTAATCTAGTTGTGTATATACACCTCAGCAAAGCAGTGTAGCTAAGAGGAAGAATCGACATCTTTTTGAAGTGGCGCTCTTCTTGATGTTTACTATGGGTGTCCTTTTGTCTTTTTGAGGAGGGAGATGCAGTTTTTACTACCGCATATATCATTAATCAGATGCCTTTGAAAGTTCTTGATTTTTTCACTCTTATAGAGTTGGTCCAAGGGTCAATTTTTCTTTGTTCTATTCCTCTAAAGGTGTTTGGTTATGTGTGTTTTGTACATAATTATTGAAGGACCAAGGGAAAGTTAGATTCAAAGGCACTGCGGTGTATCTTTATTGAGTACTCAATTACCCAGAAAAGGCATAAGTGATATCATCCTCAGTCTCGAAAGGTGTATGTTAGTATGTATATTACGTTTCATGAGACAGTTGTATTTCTGTACATTTCCTTCATCTCTTCAAGGGGGGTAGGTAGGGTGTTGAAAAAGAGATGTTAGAGGATGAATTCCTTCTCTTATCTCCCAATTAGTGCTTAAGTCGGGGAAAGAGACATAGTGAGGGGGAGTTTCAAGGAGAAACACCTATTCAGGGGGAACAAACTACTTGTGAAAGATTAGATAGGGATAATTTGCGATACTATACTCAACAAGAAACTAAGTAGATCATCACCCATAAGCCATTCAGTTAGTCATCATCTTGACTCAATTCTAGATACATCTTCCTCTACATCAAGTAATGCGCTTTCTTGTAATAATCCCGTTGATTATTGTGTTTTACCTATTGCTATTTGACAGAGAGTTCGGACTAAATTTTTCTTATGACTCTTTGTCTTTCTCCTATCATGTTTTTGTTTTGTCTTTGTCTTCTATATCTCTTCCTCAGAGATGGATTAAAGTCCTTGTAGAGCCTAAATGGAGAGCAGTCCTGGTATAAGAGATGAGAGCTCTGGGAAAGAATGAAATCTATGAGTTTCTGTCTCTTGGGAGCTTATGTTCTCCCCGCCGGGAAGAAATTAGTAGGTTGTAAGTGGGTGTTCACTATCAAACAGAATGTAGATGATACAGTTGATAGATACAAAGCAAAGACTAGTGGTTTAGGGTTTTCTCAGATATTTGGCATAGACTATCAGGAGACATTTGCCCTTCTAGCTAAGATGAATTTCATTCGTGTCATTCTTTCTTATGCTCCCAACCTAGGATGGAAATCTATAACAATTAAATGTAAAGAATGCATGTACATTCCTCCGCGTTTTTGAAATCTCTTTATGGACTAAAACAGTCTCTTAGAGCTTGGTTTGACTGATTTCATGAGGTAATGATCAAATTAAGAGCAAAGTTATGCAGATCACACGATATTCATCAAACAAGGGAGTGGTAAGATATTAGTTCTTATAGTATATGTTGATGACATAATACTTATAGGTGATGATGTCGAGGAAGTGTCCAAACTGAAGGTCCATCTTGTTAAAGAATTCGAGATCAAGAATTTGGGGTGTTTACACTATTTCTTAGGGATTGAAGTGGCCAAAATATAAAAAAAAAAGACATTTTCATCTCACAAAAGAAGTATATCTTTGATCTTCTGAAGGAAACCAGCATGGTAGGTTGTAGACCTGCAGACTCACCTATTGAGACAAACCACTAAGAAGTAATTAAGGTGATCTAATTGATAGAGAAAGATATCAAAAACTTGTTGAGAGACTCATATACCTTTCTCACATACTCCTAGACATAGCATATGCAATTAGTGTTGTTAACCAATTCATGCATTCCTCCGGTGTCCCTCATCAAGAAGCAACTCATTGTATATTGAAGAAACTCAAATCATCTCCACATAAATGAATTTTTTTCTCAAAATAGGATTATCTGAGATTAGAAGCTTTCACACATGCTGGGCAGACTCAATTGATGATAGGAGATCCACTACAAGCTATTATACCTTTGTTAGAGGAAATCTAGTTACTTGGAGGAGCAATACGCAAGTGGAGGTGGTTAGATCCAGTACGGAGCCAGGATACATGGCTATGACTCATGGTATTTGTAAGTTTGTGTGGTTGAAAACCTTAATAGAAGACTTTAGTTTCTCTACTGGTTATCTATGCATCTATATTGTGATACTAAAGCTGCTATAAATATTGCTCATAACTCAGGTCAACATAACAGAATAAAGCATGTTGAGATTGACAGGTACTTTATTAAAGAGAAGTTGAATGCTGGGTTGATTTGTATGTCCTTTGTAACATTTAAGGAACAATTAGTTGATGTGTTTATTGATAGGCTTAGTAGTATAATTTTTCATTCAGGTGTATGCAAGTTAGATATGAAAAGTATCTATACTCCAACTTGAGGGAAAGTGTAGAATGTCAAGTTATTTTAATTAAGGGTATTATTATAATTTGCAACTTATTATGAATTAATATAAATATGGGTGACGGAGGAGAGATTAGGTCATTTTTATTATCCTTAACACTATTTTATAATCGTTCTCTTCTCTTTCTCCTCTCTTGTCTCATCTTCATTTTAAATACTAAAAACCTAAAACCTTGAAATGTCATCTGTAACATACTAGAAAGTAAAACAATAGGCAAGTAACACATTCTTCTCTCAAAGTAAATTGTTGCATTCATTTCAAGCCTTGCAAAATACAGAAGTAGAGGTATGCAAATAATCATTTAAAAAACATGAGAAAAAATCATGTAAAATATAGAATTAATTACACAGTTCCCAGAAATAATTGTCAGAAAGGGTTCCTATATTTCTTTTATTTTTTGGCATTGTTGAGTTGCATGTTGTTTGGATGAGAACACTTCCGCATTTGGGAAGCAAAGTAATCACTGTTTAGAATTGATTTTGGGTTGGATGCTCTAATAGTTTAATTTTGTTCTCGGATTGATCGACGTAGGCCGGAGTATGGAGATAAGTGGATAAATAACTGAATAAATGGTGGGAAGCTATAGCTTGGGTAAAGAAGAGCTATCCTATCCAGAAGTTGCAATCCAAAGCTAGGTGTTTTACTCCATTCAAGAGATTATTTGGACCTAACATGTGTCCGTGTATATTAATGTTGGTATGTGATTTTTGTTTTTGGACATAATTAGTAAGGTTCGTTAATGTAATTTTTACTTCTAAAAATATATCAATTTTTGTATATACTATAGCAACAAAGTACTATTCATGCTACTGTGTCGTGGTACTGTTCATGGTACTGTGGTTGTGATCAAAATTTGGTTAATTTTGTTTTTATCTGAGACTAATTCCGACTCTAGTCGTAGGATTTATTATGATTTGCTTTTAAAGTTTATACAAAGGCTTGTAACATTCTCTTTTGAACTACAATGATATTGCTCAAAAAAAAAAAAAAAACAACTAGAATGATATAATAAAAATTGCAGCTATGCTACGTTGGATTGTCTTCCTTCTTCCTCTTCTGTCTTTCTTATTTTACCGGTTCTTCTCTGACTTTTTAGTTTTCAGCTGCTTTTTAATTATTCTGCTTCTTTCATTCAAGTTCATCTGATAAACGAGAGCAAAGTTATTTACTGATTTGTTATATAATCAGGCTTTAATCAGTTGAACTAAACCCTAAAACCCAAAATTTCCTTCCAAATTCCTTACCCAGGCAATTACCCATTATTGCTATCAGTGTCTACATAAACCTAGATCACTTACTTTACTGAAGTACTAATATTACTGGTTGTCCTGCTCCTGCATCATGAAATGGTTGTTTGTGTTTACTGACACTGCATGTCCATCTCTAGAGGGTGTGTTGCCTCTATTTCTATTCTGTGTGACTCTTAGAGCAGTTCACCCCTAAAGTAAGCATAACCTCCTTTCATGAGGTTGCTGTAATTGGGTCGGTTCAGGTCATCCCAATGCAAGTCCAAAATTGTTCTTTCAGTGAAAGGCTTCTGCAATTGTTAGTGACCTCTCTGTGGTGAGCAGGATCACAAATCCTACTGATGCTTGTCTATGTTGCCTGTTACAATTGCCATTAACACCACTCTTGGATTCTGTAGTTAACATGGTCACCGTTGGACTCTTTTATCCCCTGCAAATTAACCGGAGGTGGATCATCTATTAACAGTAACCAGCTCTTTTAGTGTATCTGAGTTATATCTTTCCAAGACACCATATCGCTACATGTCAGGTGTTGCTTAACTTCGCCATTGCAGCAATTTCAGTCTTTTCTTTTAATCCGAAAATTTTGTCATTATTATTCTTCTACTCCCATGCAATGGTAAATACAGGTATATGTACTTTTCCCATTTGATCTGACTGATGTTGTAAGCTCTGGAGTTGATATTGCTGCTAAATCTATTTTACAGGTTCACTGCCTTTCCTGATGAGTGTACCAAAGACAGAATATGGAAGTGTTATGCCTCGGAAGCCCACAACAGATGAGCTAATCCAAGTTTTAGAAGATGTTAACCTTGGCTACTTATTATCTCAGTTTTGTGGTCTGGATAATACATATGAGTGGTCTAGTGTTCTTTCTCTTGGTGAGCAGCAACGACTTGCATTTGCACGCCTGCTGCTTTCCAAGCCATGCTTAGTTCTATTGGATGAGTCCACCAGTGCTTTAGATGAAGCCAATGAGGTATATAAGATTGAATGTTTTATCGTATTCTATATTCTGTTGTGCATGTTACATGACTAAGCATGGCCATTGACAAACACATCTACCATACCTTTGTTGTCCATCTGTACTGGGACTGCATCATAGTTGTCAGATTAACATATATATTTCCAACATTTGGATAGAAAATTGAGCTACTTTTGCAGGGGCAATGCGCATGGTTGAATCATCACAATATGAATTGTAAAAGACATGATTTACGTTAAAATTCGAAGGTTTTTAAATTTGCACAGCAAAAAAATATTTCCATAGGAATACCTTCTTTAAATAATTTTCATCCATATATATTTAGTTATCTAAATTTTAAATATATCTAAATTTAGTGTTACATCACCATATTGGTAATGTCTCTCCACTTAAGTATTATACCTTAATATATTACTGTTTGTGCTCAGATCTGTGGAGTTGTGTTAATGTACTCTGGCTGTGGAACTCTCACCCCATAAATCTACTACATGATAGTTAGCCAAAGCAGTTCTCAGTATTTGAAAGAGTTGAAGTTTTGGATTCAAATTTTTGTTAACAATGGGAAGAGAACACAACCTTGAGAAAACTGACTCAGTTTATCCATTCTTTTCTTGGTTACAAACTGGCAGTTTTTGTTTTCAGGGGGAATGATCTCTTAACTCCACACATTTGGTGCCAGGTGTTAGGTGACATATTGATAGTTTTCTGATCAAATGGTCCTACCAAGAACGGTGGCCATTGATTCTGAAGAATCACACCTTTTTTCGATCTTTAGCTGGATTGTTGCTTTTCTGAAGATCACTATTGGTCAAATAAAGTTAAATGACAAAACGCCTCTTCAAATTTTTTTTTCCTTTCTTATAGTCATCTTTGTGCCTTCAGGCTTATTTGTATCGGCAGATTGAAGCTGCAGGGATCACATATATGAGCGTTGGCCATCGGAGTTCCCTTTGTAGATACCACAACCGGATCTTACGAATATCTGCAATAGATCCTAACAACACGCGGTGCAATTGGAACATTGAGATCATCAATCAAGACACCACCATGTATAACTTGTCAAATCAGTAGTTCTAGATGCCTTGGATGCAAAATTGCACGGTTTGCTACCTGTGCTTGTCAAGGGTGGCTGTTTTGGAGCAGGGATACGAAGACAAAAGGAGTTGGGTGTCTTCTTTTTGAATTCAATTGATGTGATTCCTATATCTATGAATACATTCATGAGAGAATCAGTGTGACACCTTGCGTACCTCGAGCACAGTATGATTAATTGTATTTATTTTACTAGTCGTGGCCTGTTCTTTGTACAATTTGTTTTAATGTATGGGTTGAGTTACTATGGTTAAAAAGTTAAAATTTAAGTGAGTTATTGTGATTAAAAGTTAAAATTTATATGAGTCATTGTAAGTAAAAGAATAAAAATTTAATTTAAATGAGCTAATGTGGTTATTTAGGATTTTTTTACGATTGTTCATTTTCTTAGCTAATTCTGTGATCCTTTTTTTATTTGTTCAATAGTGGGTTTGCCATTTTGATGCACTTTGTATTAACGATCCTCAAAACAGAATGTATACAAATATTCATTTTACTAGGGAATATTTGTTTTTTAAAAGTTGTCTCTCAGTTCTCTGAACACGTGGTGTAACTGGAGCTGCTTGAGATTATTCATTTACCGAGCTCTTAGTTCTCCAGCTAGTCCACTTTGTCGTGCTGTAGGTGGACCGTTTAGGTTGTCATTTAAAAAGGGGGCCGGACGTTTTGGGTTTTGAATGGATGGCTTAAGTTTAAATCTATCATTATTATATTTGATTTATAAAATTTGAGGGTCAATCGATCATCATTTTTACTAAGGCATTAGGTAGTTACCGTCTAAAGATTATTTGGTCATAGGTGGGCTTATTTGATATACATTCCCTTACTTGAGTGGGAGAGTTATAAGTGTAATAAACATAGCACTGATACTTTCATTACATAGGAGTTCTATGGGATCTTTGAAATGTATGTTCTGTAATGTGATGCAATAATGGAGGGTGTCTTCTTGGTTAAAGGTAGAAAGTAAATGATTTCTCCAACCATCGTGCAGTGTTCGTGAAGGCAACGGCATCACTTGTGCTGCTACTGCTATATAATAATAATAATAATACTCGTCTGGCGTTGAGATTTGGTGAAATTGCATGGAGGTAAAAATCTGTACAATAGCTGTGTTTAGCCTTCGTGTTTGACCAGCAATCCAATCAGATATGTTAACCCCCCCCCCCCCGGGGGGTGTTATACACTTAAACAGGTAGGTATGCACTGCACATGCATGGGAACGGGAGTGGGGGGAGAGATTGCGTAGGAATCCCTTATGCCGTCCGTCCAGCTTTGTTATATCCTATTCTTTTAGTATAATGTAAACGAGGCCTTGGATTTTGTACTCTGCATGGAATTCTAGATGATGTCTCCTGCACCGCTAACTGCCATCAAGAATAGGGGGCACATATTCTATGGCTTCATACCACACAGCTAAATGACCCGTATTGTATAATATTGTCTATTTTGAATAAGTTCATGCTTTGGAATACTTTGTCTCATACCTCATTTCACCTTTTCCATATTGACTTCAAGACTCTAAGAGCCTTGGCTCTTGACTTTCGGGTCGTCACCATATTATTAATTAGCATTGACCTACACTTGTGCAGGTTAACAGAAGATTAATTGCCATTGAAGATGATGAATGGAAACGGCCAGCTATCTGTTCCACCTGGCTTTCGATTCCATCCCACGGACGAGGAGTTACTTTATTATTACCTGAGGAAGAAGGTATCCTATGAAGCCATCGACCTTGACGTTATAAGGGAAGTGGATATCAACAAACTTGAGCCTTGGGACCTCAAAAGTCAGGCTACTCCTTCCTCTTTCTCTTTGTTGTTGGACCTTCTCTTGCATAATGTTTTGACAAAATTATGCTAACGAAACACCTATGCTTTGGATAAAATCTGCTAGCTAGGCCTAGGTATGTAACTGTAAAATCTGCACAGCTGGTAGAGTAGAAAGACCTTGCTCTTCTTGGATTCTCTAAGTCTAAGGTGATAAGCTTGTTGTTGGAAATTAAATGAGTGGGGTTTGCGTGGGAACAAGGTCATCTGTATTGGATTGGACACAAAAGCGATCGGGTGCAATTCCGAACAAGGATGAGCCCAACAAGCAAACTGATTTGTTCTCACTCAGTCTCTATATCATGTGATATTGACTTGGTGTGTGTTATGGTAAACCATGTACCTAAATACAGTCGAATAAAAATGAAGAAGTCCGTTAAGTACTACAAGTCACTCCGATCTATTAGGAGGCCACAAGGACCAGAAACCTTGAAGAAGCTGTATTTGAGAGTTGCATCCAATCCCTATTTTTCACGCAGAGCTACCACTACCATATCTGAAGAATAGAATGCTAAAGTAGTTTTGTGTGACATGCAGACAAATGCAGGAATATTGAGTCAGGCGGGCCTCAGAACGAGTGGTATTTTTTCAGCCACAGAGACAAAAAGTATCCAACTGGAACTCGGACAAATCGGGCCACCACAGCTGGTTTCTGGAAGGCGACTGGGAGGGACAAAGCCATTCACCAAAGCAATTCAAAGAGGATTGGTATGAGAAAAACTCTTGTCTTTTACACGGGACGTGCCCCTCATGGCCAAAAGACGGATTGGATAATGCACGAGTATCGCCTGGACGATGACAATGCCGAGGTTTGGCATACACTTTTAAGCAGTAACTCATTGATATATTTAATTTATTTCATAATTCAACCCTTATCAGTCATCTTGTTTCTCTACTATTGCATGCCCGGCCGTTTAATGGGTTGTTCTGTTCACCATTTAAGCAGGAAGATGGATGGGTCGTCTGCAGGGTATTCGAGAAGAACAATCATAGTGGAGCTTCCCAACCTAAAGATGCTCCAGAACAAAACTTGGCTCACATCAAGACAAGTAGTTCCACTGATCTATTAATATTGGAGCCGAAACAGAGTTTGCAAGCAGTATATGGTTGCACCTTTGATGGGCATGGGTCCATATATCTGCCACAGTTACTGACTCCTCCTGAGTCAGCTGTTCATCCGTCCTTGAACCTCACGGACATGGAGTTTTCTCAGGACTTGTTGAGGTTGGCATCAGGCAGTTGTGGAGGTCTTGTTCAACAGGAAAGGTTTAGTACTGGCGATTGGTCATTCTTAGACAAGCTTCTAGCATCCCATCAAGTCCAGTTTCAGGGTAAATGCAATCCTTGGTCGGTGCCACGCTGTTGATGTCGTTCCTTCAGTTGAGAGATTTCCAGTCCAGTACCTCCTTTACCTTGGCCATGAAACAGACAGTTTGAAGTTCTCCAAGTGGAGTTGTAACCCTACAAACTTCATATTTCACTGTCTCCAGCTGTGCGCCTGTACATTACGTAGTTAATTTTTCTCTCAGTTCTGAAGGCTCTCTAGTATTTCGGGTACTAAGTCGAATTCTTATCGATGCTAACTAAGAAATGTTTAACTGGTTATCAAAATGTGTACAGACAAGGGCCAACGATTACTGCTGGTATCTCTTGGTGGATCATGACATGAAGGATATCTTTATTTTCCAGAATGTCGATTCTGCTCGCTACACGTTATCGTCCTTGTTAAAATTATCTTATAACAAAAACACAACATAGGCCATTCCCAGTGAACATTTCTGAACAAAAAAGGCCATGAGGTAAATACAGTGGTCCTGTTGTAACCAAATAAAAAAAAAAAAAGTGTCAATGTAAGAGGTAGGCTAATCGCACTTAGTCTAGCTCAAGAAGCACAATGGAGTTAGATAAGGAGATTGAACACTCAAGCTAACATGTTCATGACCACAACACCACTTAGTTTTAATTATTCACCGCTTCAATGTCTATGTCTAGATTCCACATGATATTAAGACACTGCTTCTTGTGCTACTTTTTCTAGTACTGCATAAAATACTTACTCACAACTCTACACGTCCTTTTTTTTTCTGAAATTAAATGAATTTGTCGATTGAAATGACTTTTGTCATCCAAGTAAGGGATATGCCCTAAATATGTAGGTATAACCCATTGTATATATCACACTACATCAAGCTAACCAAATAAAAAAATTGGCTATAATAGCATAATTTCGAGGGAAGTAAAAGGCTTGAGATAATACTTCAAGCTAAATCCCATCCACATCAAAATATCAAATATAACACATTAAACCCAAAATAAAGAAGTGTAGGAGAAACATAATGACCACTGCAAAGGGACTGTCTAATGCTAGCTAAGAAAAATTCGGTGGTGGATGCCGTTGTTGCATTAGTAGAATAAGGCGCCATGAACAAAATCCGTTAGGGAACTGGCCAAGAGGGCCGCCGGAGATTATTCTGGGGAATGAAGGTGTCCCCCTTCACGAGATAGATAGAAAAAAGAGAAGATCCCAATTTAATATTAAAATTCACAATTAATCCAATTATTGCATTAAATTAGGTCTCCAATTAGATCCCTAAACTAAGTTGCTATAGCATTACTCATTCATTATTAATGCTAACCGAGCTAACTAAGACACCTTGTGGAAAACTAAATCAAGGATCCATGAATCTCCTACCGTAATGATGAACCTTGCATAATTAGCACATATGCTCCTTCAGAATTCAAATTTTAAAGGATCAAATTCTATATTTATCTTCTTTTTGGGGGGAAGGGGAAAGGGAAGGGATGATATTGGAGCTTGCAATCATTTGTGAACCAGAGTGAGCCCTTACCTCTAGGTCACTCCTCACCTCAAAAATATATTTCTAATTTCATATTTATTCATGTATGCTTAACGCCAGATATTATCGTAAAACCCAAAGAACAGTTCAAAAAGAAATGACTTTTTATAGACAGCCAAGCTAACAGAGAGACCCAACAATGCACCTGCAATTACTTCAATCTCTGTATGTCCCACTGATTCTTTTAGTGGAACCTGACAATGAGTGACCACCTTTGATTCTCCTTCAACATCAGTAGCAAAGCTAGTTGAGACCGACATTGGAGCACTTCGACTCTTTCTGTTATCAGACTCAAGCAGTAGAGAAGCATTGGTTGGTTTTGGCCCAAAAGAACCTGGTTCCTCCAAGAATAGAGGGTCAAGGCTCGCAACATTTGAGGATGCTGTCCCTGGTGATGAATCAATCAAATCATCAGCCACACCAGAGGGTAGTGAGTCCAGCCGAGTCTTCAGGAAAAGGCTGTTTAATGCTTTTGCATGGGTGCCTACTTCCCTCCTGACTCCCTGCAACAGCAAATGAAGTGAGCAAAATTACTACAGCGCCAAAAGAGCTAATCACTTATTTACACCTAAACTAGTTGTAAATTTTAAATCTTTTCAAGGTCTCCTTATTCTGATTTTGATTACACAGGTCAGAATTTCAGGTCCTGTTTGATTTGCCTATCAAAAAACAGTATCCGAAAAATATTTTTGGGAAGAGTTTTAGAACATCATTTGTGGTGTTTTTTGTGACGTAGAATTTGTTTGGTTATATGATTCAAAAAATAGTTCTACGGAATATAAAATATTAAAACTTCGTTGGACAGTATCCTTGTTGGACAGTATCCTTGTAAACAATGAAAACAAAAATGTGGTGGTGGTGGCGAGGTGGACGTGGTGGTGGTGGTGGGAGTGGACGTGGTGGTGGTGGAAGATAAACCTAAAGATAGTGATTCTGATTTTGCTCAATAGGAACCGGAAGTTGCCCAGATTATTTCACCCTTGTTGACTAGTAATGAGTCTCCCATTAGTTCATATTTACTTTATCTAGACACTGCTAAGGAGATTTGGGATCGGTTAACTCACATGTATTTTGACATTGGCAATATTACATGCCCTTATGAGTTGTGTAGGAAGTATTTTAATCTTGAACAGGGCCCCTTGACTCTTGAGGAGTAATTTTCTAAGGTCATGGGAATTTGTGAAGAATGTAAGTTGTATCAACCTATCTCTTCTGATGTTTCAAAGATGGAACAATAGTGTGATGAAATAATGTTGCTAGCTTTTTGATTGGGTTGCGACCAAAGTATGAGCCTATTCGTGCACAGATTTCGGGCATCCCTAAGCTTCTCCCTCTTACATACGTATTTTCATGCCTTTAGCATGCTACTTTGGCAGATCATAGCTCCGTGCTACTTTGACAAATCATAGCTCACCATTCATTACTAATCATATTAGTGATCGGTCAACTTTCGTTGCCGCCCAAAATGGATTTGGTGATTCTCATGGAAGTCGTGATATGCGTAGTGGATCTGGTAATTCTCGCAGAGGACGTGGTGGTAGAGGAGGTTGCGACACTCGTAAACGCACTCATAGTGGTTGTACAATCACATAGTGGATTATTACTGGGGTTTGTATGGTAAACAACCAATTTTAGCTCATCAAGTATCTTCTTATGACGATGTTTTGTCCTCTAGCCCAGTAAACTTATTACTATCTTACGAGATGAGTATGCTCAATTCATGTCACAGAAGCAGGCCATGACATCCTCCACTACTACTTTTACTCAGTTAGGTACTATATTTACTTGTTTATTGTCTTCTACTTCCAACCCATTGATCATTGATTCTGGAGCTTCAAATCATATGACTAGTTCTTCTTGTTACTTATCTCACTTTCACACTGTAGCCCAATCTCGTAGTGTTACTCTTTCCAATAGGTCCTTATCACTAGTTTCCGGCTTAGGTAATATGCAAGTTAGTCCTTCTCTATCATTGTCTTTAGACTTACTTGTTCTTCAATTCTCCTTTAGTTTGTCATCTATCAGTAAGATTAGTCTATCTCTTAACTATTCAATAACCATTTTATCCCCCATTTTGTCTTTCAGGATCTCAAGATGAAGAGGAATATTGATACGGGACACGAAATCCAGTGGTGTCTATTACTTTTGACTTTGAGCCTCCTCAATCACCTAGTATCTACTCTTCAGTAGCCCTTGTCGGATATGCACGGATACATATCAGATACTTTTCGTACATATTGAATAATTAATAAAATATATTTATCATTGTTAAATACTTGTTAGATACACCTCAAATACGCATATTTCCACAATGGATAAATTCGTCTTATACTTAGTAACGTGAGTTATGTAATAACTATGATCGTACAAACGGGAATTCCTTATTCTAAGATGTTCATTTGGATGTGCATCACGGATATCACAAGATTCGTCTTATACTTTGTTTAGTTATTGTATCCTACTATGAAACAAAAAAATGAAGGAAATGTTAGGCATGTTGTCAAGCTTTACACAAACATGGATCCAAAATTGCAAATGATGCAGCAATTATTGAAACAAATCATCTCAAGAGAAGTAGATCTCTTTTGAATTCAAGTGCTATCTATAACTCTTGTCGAAGTTGGGGCATCCACAATAATTCAAACTAAGGGACACTTTGAAAAGTTCTTGAAGGACAGCCGGTTGTAGAGAGTACTATACCCCATGCTGGCGTGAGAGACAAGGATTTACCATCATATCTGGCAAATTTATATAATCACATGCCAAAAGTAATTAATGTTAATTACAAAGCGGATGCACACAAATCCATAGATTTCTGATTTTTTTTCAGATCTTTTATTGTAATAAATAGGATTGTTCACCAGTCACCACTAGTCAAAATCACGCTTTGTCAGTAATAGACCAATAGCACATGCTTTAGTACTTGATTCTCTTTGAATAAGAAATCAAGAATGCATGGCAGGCAAGGAAGTGATCCATAAACTTAATTAAATATGCAGTAAAAATTTGATAGGCAGACAACTACGTCAAACTTAAACTCCAGGTGACTTGTCAGCTGCTATGACATAAGCATTGTAATTGTGATTTGTGAGTACAACAGTTGAAACAGAAAGTAGCAGATCAATATCAGGATATGAGATTATTAACACAGACCAAGGTCATATGCACACCTGGGCGTCATACATGATAAGGCCAGCATAAACAACTGCTAAACCGAAAATTGCATCAGAGAAACCCCTGCAGTTGAAAAATGAACAAAAGCTTATGTAACTGGCAGAGAAATGAAGCTATTTGTTGTCTTTCTTCTTTCTGAAGTAAACACCTTTCAAGGGCAAGAGACATTGCGGTGGCCACAGCTACCTGTCCATTGGAACCAGATGTAACTTAATCAGATGAAATCAACCAACCTGTGACAATGAAACTAACAAACACCAATTCCCAAGCGAAGGACATAATTATAGTGTGTGTGAGAGAGAGAGAGAGTGGGTGGGTGGGCCAGTGAGAGTGTCGATTGTCGAAGCAGTATTACAGAGGAGTGTGTAGAAGGGAGCCCTCCAGCCTGAAAGGCAGCCTTAAAATTGAAATTGTTGCCGTAAAAAATTGCCGAAGTAAAAGGCTTCGAGAGCTGTCCAATAGCCGAGGACAAAGCTGCTACTATCAATACCTGTAATTAACAGACATAATAAACAGAAAATATTAATATAGATTAACCATTTTTAAAAAAAATATATATATAACAGAGAAAAAGAATGCCAAATTTTCGGCGTTTCTAAATCTAATTGCAGAGGTTGCGTTCCTTTCTTTTACTTCAATGTTAGTCTTTCCCCCAACGATATGGTTCTTGTGTTCTTCCATACACACACATAGTGGGAAATAACGAAGTAATAATCAGGCGGCAGCATAGGAAAAGGACGATGACGAAAAATTACAAGACCTTGTTGTGGGTAATCTCCCCGATTTCATCGATTCCAACTCTGAGACACACGGACTTCGAGGAGGAAGCAGCACCGGCACCAGTTGTGTCCTTTCTTCTGAGAAAAAGCTTAGCACCTTTGGAATCGATACTACTGCTTTTCCTCAACTGTACTACGCTATGAGATGGCATAGCACTTGAAAAGCTCCAATTTAGTAATGACATGACTGACTCTCTCTCTCTCAACCAGTCAAGCCTGGCACAGATCTCACCCACGCAGCGCAGCGATTCTAGCGAGCACCGACTTTTGAATCAAATTGACTATTTTGATCGTATCCCTTTGTACTGACTTTTGGGTCAATTTGGTTCACGCAACGTCTTTTAAGATATATGATTAAAAATTAAAGAAGGGTAAATTGTATCAACGAAGATAATCACTCGTTGCAGTTAAACTTTCTATTTCGTTAATTTTATCCCCAAACATGTGGGATCGAGAAAGATGTTCCGACCATTCGTATAACAAAAGAATGTATTTTTAGTATGCTTTTCATTCAATTTTTGTGCTGTTTTTGGATTCCAGAACTTAATAACAGGACCATTTCAACTAACAATAGTAGTATAGAATAATACCAATAGCAATGTTAATCATGGCTATAGGAGTAAAGGAAGCTATATTTCAGGCAACACTTAAATGGATATTGAAGTCTACCTTTCTTGTGAATGTTTGCTTGTTTCTATGTGATTGTTTTGTGGTTATAGGTACCATCTCTTTCTCTCACACACACAAAATTTGCATGCTCTTGTTGAATAACTTGCGAAAGCAAATGAGTCACAAAGACTTGATATTAACGCATCCGAAATTAAAGGGGAGAGAAACTCTCAACGCCACTATTCCACCATTCTTGAAATCTCAGAGTTGAGCCTTCTTTTTGCACTATTACAAATATGAAAAAAAATGGCATAAATCACATTGTCACCCCTATGGAATATAAGATTGTCAATGGATTCGAGCCATAGCACATGATTTTTGATAATACATAAAAGTGGATTTATGCACAATTAATAGTCGAGTATATAATTCAAAGTAATTAATAACACAATCAATAAAACAATTAATAAAATAGACGAAGATTGGGTCAATACAAGCAACAAGCAGATGTATAGTGGTTCGATCAGGATGACCTACTTCATTTTAAAGCCGGTGACAGTAGTCGAAAAACTTTATTAATAAAGTAAAAGGTTGGGGGAGGGGGAGAGAGAGTAAAGGGATGCTCGAAGTATGGTGAGGTAGATATGAGAGAGATAGTTGTGTAAAGGGTGTGTAGAGATGTGTCACTCTCATATGAAGAAGGTTTACAATTTATAGGTACAAAGTCTTGGTTGAGGCGGTGACGTGAAAGGATAGGTGACTAATTTATCAGGGGAGGATAGTTACAGTTGGAAATAGGTACAATTAGAAAGAGTCTTTCTTCGAGAGTGATTATCTTGATAATTATTCTCTACGTGTGCTAATATTCTTAGATCCCTTGAATTTTTGGACTAGGTCGAATTTATGAGCTGAGCTTGACCTGCTTTGTAATTAATTTAGGCTTACTTAATTAATTAAGTCTGACCCAATTAGATTCGGGCTCATCAATTTTCGTAAAATCTATCTCATGATCTTGCTGATCTAAATTTAACAAGTTTTACATTTAGAAAAAATGGCACATCATATTCTATTTGATGCGAGTTGGATAATGACAAAAATGCAACTCGGTATTTTGAAAAAAAAAAGAGGAAGCATGACCAAGTCAAGATGATCTTATATCAGTAATTTCTCATTTTGTATGTCATCAATGACAATATAAAATAATACTTGAGTATCATTTAATTATGAATTTGGATATGATTATTCATAAAAAAATTTTAATTTTCAATGCTTAGAATAAGTAGAAAATAGAATAGATCTTTATCTTACTAGTATATCAACTATTAGTTTCTAACAAATTAATAATATTCTTTATTTAAAAAAGATATATCGGAGATACTTCAAGAAATAAATTTAATTAGAACTTTGACATCTTAAAAAACATAAAAAATGATTTATACATATATAATTTAATATTTAGATATTATGTAGTTATATCTATACTAATATGTTAAAAATCGATATGCCTCACACAAAATATTTGGTTTTGGCCACACATTGGGTCGGGCCGCCCCTGCTCGGATTTGATTGATTTGGGCATTGTTTTAAAACCTGGCTCGGACATTAACCTGGAGAAGGGACCGGGTCAATGGGTTTCTGGTTCAACCACTGGGTCACTGGTCGAATCATTGATATAATAAAAAAATAAAAAATAATTATTAATGATGATAAATAGACTAAAAAATTAAAATAGTTATACAAATAACATATTTAATATATATTAAATCAAATAAAGTTATCAAGTCTAAATCATTTAATTGTATTCAATTAACAAACCAATGCATTCAATTAACAGCCCAACCTCTACCCTCAAACCTGAATCACTTAATTTTTGAGTTAACAAACACTTAAAAATTATCAAACCAATACATTCAATTCCAATACAATTTGCCTAATCTGCTATTAATCAAATCAAATATTCACTTAATTGCATTGTTCTTGAAATCAACTTCATAAGAATTCATACAAATCAAGTCTCAAGAGAAAGGCATAACAACACGAAGCAAAAGCAACAATCATCAGTATCATTGCAAAACCATCAACGTGAAACAAAAGCAAAAACTAGCACCAACAACAACAACCATGGAGGACAGCACAAACAGAAAGCAAAAACCAGATCCCAGAGCAAATATATATATATGTAGAGAGAGAGAGAGAGAGAGAGGTATCTATTGTTGTGTCTTAGAGAATGAATTTCGTAGAGTTCGAGTGAGCAAGCCAACCACATCGCAAAGAGAGAAAGAGAGGACTAAATCAGAGTAAGAGGCTGAGAGTAATCAAACTTTAAAATTCAACGATGAGGCAGAGAGGAGGACGAGAGGCAAAGAAGAAGAGGAAGAGGAAGACGAGAGGCAGAGGCTCACAACGACAAAGATCATATTAGGGAAAATGAATCGTTGCTCGTGGATCGCTGGTGGAGGGTGAAGGCTGTTGTGGTGCTGTTGGAGGATGGAGGCCGAGCTGTGGAGTGTGAACACTTAACGAATGATTTAAGATTTAGGGCAAAACGGAAGGAGAAAAGAAAAAGACACAAAAATATAAAAAAAAAACATATTTATACTAAAGGAACAAAACCGACTGATTTTGTAAACCCGTCTGATTTTCACGGGTTATTGGTTTTTTGACCAGTTCACCGGTTTTATTCCGGGTTCTTTGCTCAAACGATCCAATTACAAAATCGGCCCGGTTAGGGGACCGGGTCACCAGGTCAACCCGTCGGACCGGGCCGAATTTTAAAACACTGGATTTGGGTAATAAAATGTCAATCTTTGACTTGTCTATGTGACACCCCAAAGTCCGGGTGTCTGTAATTACCCGATTGATTATCCATCAACCTGTGTAATACTGGTGGATATCGTGTAATTTGATACCACACCGTTATGCCCCATTTCTTGGGATCCATAACTTAACAAAATTTGGACAGAGTCCCTTTGTACAAGGAGCTCTACTCAAAACGCAACCTGTACAACATTGACCACACCGGGTCTATCTATCCATTCACAATTGTATAGTCTCGAATACTACCATAATCATTATCAGTACATACATTTATTCGTAAAAGAATAAATGTCTCAAAAGAGTCTCATATACATGTCTTTGTAAATATAAACAATGTTTGTTACAAAAATTATACAAGGCCAAAAGTAAGTATAAACAAGGGACTACAATGTCAAAATAAAAGCCACAGACCGGCTCTGTCGTCAAAGCGGGCCCATGGCCTCGCCTTCGGTGGACGCCTGTGCGATACCTGAAAAATGTTCCCATTAAGAGTGAGCCAACGCTCAATAGGGTAACTCCTATAGAGAATACCTCTCAACCTAAATGCATATGGAATGTCACATGCAACAATCATTTGATACATTCATTTAAATATGTCTATTATGATTGAATGTTATAGATCATGTCATGCCATGAGATGAGACTCATGCAAGCAATACCAACCCCGAGCCCCATCCTGAGCTCCCATAACACATGCAATGTCATGCGTATATATCCGAGCATTCCAAGCCCCCATCATTGGTGTTATGTACACTCAATGACTAATTAATTCATTTTCTTATGTCTTTGTGGGGAGGTGATTTATGGTATTACACCAATGGGACACCAACCATCAACGGATCTTCAGGACATCCCACCTGCGGCTCCGTTTCCGCCGTTACACTTTTTTGGAATTTAACCGCCGGAAAGTGTATAAACCAAGTAAGCGGGTCTTGCACCCGAGGGAGAATCTAGCCCTTCGTGCTATCCCCAACACATTTATTCATTTAATTTCTTGTGCGACTCAATCGAATCTTGGTGCGACTTTTCCGAGTCCACGTTCAACCACCTACGTGGTGATTGATTTCATATCATGCATACACTCTCACCCATGTCAATGCCCATGAATGTAGTGCAACCCATGCATAATGAAATACAATGTAATGACATTTTAACACGATCTCAAGCATGTTATGTAAGATAATCAACTCAACTAACATACTTGTATTCACCTAGGCATTTAATCAAACACCTAAAGAGCACATCAATTTACACAACTAGCATGCTATGACTTGCAACATGATAACATGTTTAACATAAGCACAAAGTCCACCAAAATAATCATATGTTAAATAATCATTTAACATATATATATTATTTCACAATCATATAACAAGTTAATAATTTTATTAAACTTGATCTTCCATTAAAATATAAAGTAATGCTAACATACAATTAACATGCTTTAAACTACTAACATTAACTTATATCAAGTTAATCACAATAGAATTTTATTAATCACAAGATTAATTATAAATTATATATTTGACCCACTAGTCAAGACCTAACATGTGATATACACTCATAATCTACTCATTCCATATGTCATATTTTAAGTTGAAATTAAATCTAAATAGGGAAAACCCTACCTCTCGTAGCGTGAGACCACTTACTAGAACGTCAAGGAAGCCCAAATTTAGCTTCCTAAGTTTTAGGTCTAGATTATCGGTTTTGATATACCTTCGAAGAAAAATACGATATTTGGTGTGGTTGCGTAGCTCTCGCTGAGTAGAGCAACTTTAGTTCTTGGCCTGAAGCGATTAAACGGTTAAATTTTCCTAGATCTGAGAAGGAAGAAAAGAGAAAAAAAAATAAAAACTCTTTTTTTTTTTCTCACTCTCTTTCTCGCCGGCTGTAGAACACATAAAAAGTGGAAGACTTTGTCTTCCACTTATATATATATTATTATTTTTTTTTTTGAAATTTATGTTTTTGACCCATAATTTAACAATTAATTATTATTTTACCCCCCTTTTTTTTAGGATTTTAATAATAATAATTTTTTTTTTCGAATTTTACAGTCTATAACAACGCACTCAACATGAACATGTTGCCATGTTTTGGGAGTGCCTGTCACGTAACCCTTTTGTTACAGTCTTATCTCTTGTCGCATGAGTATTGTCATATACTATTGTTTTGTATATATAATAGAGAGCTATAGAAAAGGGACAAGCCAGCATTACAAGTTCCAGTCTTCCAGAACCAACACAGAGTGACCGGTTAATGGAAAACATGAAGCACCGGTGCTTTTCCATTGTCTTTATTCTCCTCGTTCTTGCTCACGTGACAGTGTTTGACACGATTGTCTTAGCCAAAGATGTAAAACTTCCGTCCCTAAAACTAAAAGCCACCCCTTTTTCCAAGGCCAAGCCGCATTCTCGATCACCATGCCTGCCAAAAATATTACCTCCCCAAGATTACCTGTCCACTACCTACTATCTTACTTCATGTCCTGACCTGGAAGGCATCATCCAGAACAAAATCAATGCTTGGATTCAGAGGGATTACACCACAGCTGCTAGCATCATCCGCTTGCATTTCCATGACTGCGCTGTTCGGGTATTCTAGCTTGCTTTAATTCGACAAAAATATAATTTTGCTACAAGTTTACATCGCTACTGCTGCTGCTATTTCATTCACAATATATATATATATATATATTAGGACTCACTACTCATTTTACCGTAATAATATAGTAGTACTCAAATCAAATCCTACTTATAGCATTCCTCTTATAAGGAACTACTTTTAAGAAAGTCCTTTTTTTTCCCCTGGAAAAGTGAGTTCTTCCTTTTTGAGACTTCCTCAGATGGCGTTAATGTGAGTTGGGAAGGTATTTTTTTTATCCACTGCTCCTAGCTAGATATACAAACAGCCTAAACTACTCACGTGTGTGGGGTAAATCTGCTGTTTACGAAATGCTAATGATCTTGGACTGTATTTGTTTGTGCATTACAGGGATGCGACGCTTCAATTTTACTAAACCATGCAGGGAGCGAAAGGAGAGCAGAGGTGAGTAAGACACTTAGAGGTTTTGAAGTGATAGATGAGATCAAGGCAGAGGTAGAAAAGAGGTGTCCTAAGACTGTGTCATGCGCTGACATCCTCACTGCTGCCGCCAGAGATGCCATGGTAATGGTGGGAGGTCCATTCTGGGAAGTCCCTTTTGGAAGAAAAGATGGAACAATTTCGCATGGAAGGGAAGCCCACATGGTTCCCCAGGGCCACGAAAATGTTACTGCCTTAATCGAATTCTTCCAATCACGGGGCCTTAATATACTTGACTTGGTCATTCTCTCGGGGTCGCACACAATTGGAAGAAGTACTTGCAATTCCATTCGACCAAGGCTATCTTACTTCAAAAACACTGTCATGGCTGAACCTCCAATTGATGTCAAATATTTAAATTTTTTGAAGAAACAGTGTAGACGGGATTCCAACTATGCCAACCTTGACGCTACGACTCCTACAACTTTTGACTCGATGTACTACACCAATCTAGAAAAGAAGCGGGGATTACTATTGACAGATCAATTGCTCCACTCGGATGCACGCACTGCACCCATTGTTGCTGCGTTAGCACCTCAACCCCAGCTTTTCATTAGCCAGTTTGCGGTGTCAATGGTGAAGCTCGGAAATGTTCAACTTCTTACTGGTAAAAACCAAGGCGAGATAAGACGGAATTGTAATTATGTCAATCCTTGAGTGGCATTCGCCTTCATCACACTTCAACTTTTATGTCTATTTTTACATTTGAAGTCTCGTGTGTTAATTCTGCAGTCAAATAAAAGTGAAGCTTGGGTTGGTTTGTCCTACTATGTCAAGACTAGTCTGAAAGCTTCCTTGTAGGCAACTCTTCTCTGTACTCTGACCCATTCTCACCCGCCCACAACTAAACTTCGCCAAATACAGAAATGGGGATTTTCCCACTCTCATTCGTTTATAAGGCGTTCAATAGCTTATACACTCTTATCACTTTCCCCACACCAAAACTCTTGGTTGGAAGACAGTTCAATTGACGAGCTACACTCACACAAATAGAGAAAGTCTGTCTTAATATGTGTGTAGGTTTCAGATTGAATGACCACTAATGCACTGATCTTATTAATTGTATGCGAGAGACCAAGCACATCATTTTGGGGAGAAATATAGTATGCAGGTTCGGGTTGTTTTTTGAAGTTCCGCCATCTTGTGGCAGATAGGGTGGGGCAACTGAGATTTTCTCCACTATATTTTCACTCAATTTTATTCAATAATAAATTACTCATTGTATATAAGTGAGAGACCCCCCGTATAGATAGTGAGTCTCCATGATAGTTGATTTCCTATTTGAGTTAAATAGGGGCGGAGCCATAGTATTTTTTCAGTGGAGGCAAATCAAGTTTAAGAGAATGACTACCCAATAATTATTAAAATTCGTTATATCTAGTGAATATGATTTTTTTCTCAAAATTTTATTTTCTATAAAAAAATATTCCTAATCTAACACTTTTTATAAAATAATTCTTTATATTTTTTTTTTACTTTCAAAGATTTCACGTATCAATACACGTGAAAAAGTGATAGGACTTGACTAAAAAAAATTAATATAATTTTTTTTGTATACAGTACTAAAATAAAGGCAATTTTTTTAGAAAATACTATTTTGACATATCACTTTACAAGTAGATTTGTCAATGATAAGATTTTGAGTTATCTGAATGATAATTTGTTTTGATTATCCTAATTTTAATCTAATTTAATTACTCCACGAATTTTTTTTTATAATTCATATTCGAATCCATTAAATATTATAAATTTATCAAAAATTCAATTTCATACATATATGTGTGTGTGTGTGTGTATCGCATTGTGATTTCAATTCAATTTCATCAAATATTTACATATACATATTTGTGTTGCATATCAAATTGAATCGAATGAATTGAATCATAATTAGATCAATTTTTTTATGCCCAAATTTAAAATCTTAGAATATGATGTAGTATATTCGAACTTGGATACTTGGTCAAAAATATTAATCTATATTTTAGTAATTGAATCCGACAAATGATTGATTCAATAACTTAAATAAGCCATTACAGAAAGAATGAAGATAATTAGAGACTAAAGAAAAAAATTGTGACATTAAATTTGTATGAACAAACTTTGAGTCTAAGTTTTTAATTCATGAAAAAAAATGAGGGGGGCAAGTGATTAGAAAATTTATTTTTTATTATAATTTTTAACTAAGCCTAAAAATTATCTTCATTGAACCCCACTGCCCCCACCCTGCCTCCACCCCTGAGTTAAATTGAGCGAAAAACGTATTAATGTAGAGAATTTGAATTGGTGTAAATGACAATAACACGTGACTAGGGTGTTCAGGGTCGGATTATTCACGGGCTTGTTATTCAGCCCAAAAAAAAATGCCTCATAATTGGCCCACCCGAGTCCGTTTGAAAAAACCCATTAAAACTTGGCCCAAAGCCCATCCACCCTTCGTTTGAAAAAAAAAGTAATATTTTTTGACAATTAAATTTGAAATTTTGAAATAAGTCTCTCAATATTAAAATTTAAAGTTTTAAAAATTTAGATATCGTAAGTAATGTATTATTTTCTTTTTCATGTATTAAGCATACAAATTTTAAAGGGTAGAGTAATGCAAATACTAGATAAGTGAGTAAGTGTTAACCTAGTTCGGATGTATTCATTCTATTAAATATAGTTCATCTCCTAATCAAAAATAAAATTATTTATTATTTTTTTTATTCATTTTGACTCAAAAATATAATTTACATAAATATTAAATTACAAAAATATTAGTTATTTTTTAAATAAAATTATATATAAAAAAATCTGCAAACAGACTCGCCTTCTAAGTTTGATCCGACCCGTCCAATAACTCATTTGAGTAAAAATTTAGATCTACACTACTTCAGCCCAACTCAGAAAAAAATTTTGAGGCCTAACCTGGTTCAGTCCATTGACACCCTTGAATGACATCCCATAAATACTATAGATGGATCTAATGGTCATATAAGGACATCTAATTAAGGAATGTTTAGCCACAGGCCTTGTATAGGAAGTGACCGTCAAAATAAGTTGGCGTTTGAGATTGCTTTTGAAGTTTAAGAAATATTGTCATTTAATAAAACACCTTTTGGATGGAAAAAAAAAACACTTATTGTAAGGGATTAATTCGCACCGGAATATCCTCCATATAAAGCATAGGCTTATATGTGGAAGGGAGAGACGACTCTCAGTCGATGTGGGACGAGATCCTCATGAATATTGAGAGGTAAAGGTTATTGAATTGCCCTAGAAAGGAGTTCAGGTCAGTCAGAATCCTTCGATGGAGGAAGAGATCCGTACACGCGATTTAATCCTTACAATTAGATATAAAACAGTTAATAAAAAAGTGGATTTGAATGGGTAACAAAAAAACTTCTGTGTCACAATTATTAGTATATTTCTGATGCACACTCAGCCAAGCCATTCATCTTCTGACGCACAAACATACATGACATGTGGTGACTTACGGTGGTGGTGATATTAGTCTTCACCTCACCAGATGGTGATCGGACACATTGCCCTACTGTGAAAGCACCATTTTAACATATATTACGTACTGAGTAACAATTAAGAATGCTTGGCTTGGAAGATCAGCAATTCATTAATACTGCATCCATCACCATCACCATCTGTCCATCCAGCGGCCGATGCCGACTCTCCAACTAATTAATTCCTGTTTACAATTAGAAGACTTGTATATATATTTCTTGGTTACTTTCCGCCCAGAAGCCGGCTTCCAAGTTTGGGTTGGTGCATGTTTGAACCGCCACTTACGTACACTGTCAACAAAGTGGTCCATGTGGAGCTCAATTACACTGACATGATTAGTTGCTTTCGATGATGAATTTATAATCTCTAATTAATGACTTTTAATAGCAATATGCCCGAGAGACAACCTTCTCAGTCTAAGCCTAAGTCTATGCCTATGGGAGGAATTCAGATTAATTAAAAGACGATTTTACATCTATATAATAAAATAATTTATAATTTATAATTTAAAAATAAACAAATGACTTTTATTTTTTACGGTTTAAATTATTTTAAATTTTATTTTAAAGTTAATATAACGACTAATATTAACACCTTAAATTTAATAGGACAAATAAGACCCTAGAGATATGTTTGAAGTGACTTTTTAAATGTACTTTTAAGAATTATTTATCATAACTACTTTAAAAAAAATAATTTTTGAAACCGCCCCACCATTATCTCTACCACCACCACTACCTCTACCATCACCACAACTACCTTGACCACCACCGCCACTGTCACCACCGTCGCCACCCTCACCACCACTGCCACCACCGCCCCCACTATCACCACCACCTCTTCCACCGTTACCGTCGTCACCGCCACCACTGTCACCATCACTACCACAGTCGCGCACCACCCTACCACCGTCGTCACCGTCATCACTGTCACCATCACTATCATTGCTACCGCAGTCGCCACCACCCCCACCACCATCATCATCGCCGTCGTCGTCACCCCCATCACCACTGCTGTCACAACCACCACCATCGCCGTTGCCACCATCGGTCATTTCCACCAGTTACAATCATCACCGTCTCCTATCACTACTACTGTTGTCCACCACCTCTCACCTCTACTATAACTTATACTTAAATTCATTTATCTCTCCTCTATATTTGTAATTTAATTTTAGATATGAATACAAACATGTTTATTATTTATCATTTTTTATTATTATGTACCTTCAAGCATATACAATAACTAGTATATAATAAAGTAACTTACAATTTAAATTTCAAAAAATAAACAAAATGACTTTTACTATTCGCAATTGAGATCGTTTTAAATTTAACTTTAAAGTTAATCTAACGGCTAATATTAACACCTAAATTTAATAGGAAAAATAGGGTTCTAAAGTGTGTTTTGAGTGATGTACTTTTAGAAATTATTTTTCATAAATACTTAAAAAAAAAAAAATTAGTGTTTGAATTTTGAAACCATCTCACCACCACCCCCACCACCATTGTCATTGCCGCCGCCACCATCGCCGTCGTCGCCGCCACCAACACTGTCGCCGCCACCTCCCTCAACACTATCGCCACCACCAGCACCACCCACCCATTACCACTACGGTCATTATCATCCACCACAACTATCACTGTTTCCTACCATTACCACTGCCACCTACCACCTCTCACCCTTACTATAAATCAATGATTAAATTTATTTATTTTTTCTCTATATTTGTGATTTAATTTTGGATATGAATACAAATATGTTTATTGTTTATCATTTTTTATTACTATGTGTCTTTAAGCACAGCCAATAACTAGTTTATTGATATATTTACTTCTCCTTTTCCTTTTCCTTTTATCAAAGTAAATTAATTGCTTGAGTAACCTCTTCCCACGTTCAAGAGTTGTGATGAACGTAATTCGCAAATAGTAATTAAATTTGGGGAGAAAATATTCAGTACTTGGCAGGTACTAGGCTGTCATTGACAGTTGATACTCATCACCAATCAACAGATGCTACCTCATATTCTGTATTTGGTAGGTACCAGATTGTCATTGACAGCTGGTACTCATCATCAATCAAGAGATGACACCTCAATGTAGACTCTCCTTCAATTTTTCTCTCTCCATTGATTATCTTGAGATGGCATCTGTTGATTAGTGATAAGTACCTGTCAAGTACCGAATATTTTCTCAAACTCGGGAGACAGAACAGTGAAAATATATGCTAATGCTAATTAACGGACGGAAACCTGTCATTTACAGTGACTGAAGCAAGTTTAAAAAAAAAAAAGTGATTGAAGACGATAAAACATATATAAAAGAAACGACAAGAGGAGCCTAAAGAAGGAAGAACAAAGCAAAGACAGCCCAACATGCGAGTCTGTATTATAATCACCCAATTCTCTGCCGTTGGACAGATGGGCTGTCGCTTTTGTCCCTTCCTATAAAGCAACTTCTCTCTCTCTCTCTCTCTCCGCGTCCGGCTCCTCCTCCATATTACCCTCATTCTCCCGTAGAAGTTAGAACTCACAAACAAGAAGGCCCCGTCACCTTTTAAATAAAGTGCTCACTGCTCACCATCATCTTCAGACTTCAGTACGTATCAGCTGATCGCCCTCATCTTTCTTCAATTTTGCTCCTTTCTGGAGTTTGCATTGTGAAAGAAATGGCGACAAGGGCTCGACGGAAGCATATGAGGTGGTGCGTGCAGCCATTGACCCCTCTAATGGAAGGACCTGATCATCTCGAAATGCAAGATGAAGGGTCCAAAAAGGAGAGTTCGTGGGAAGTAATTAGGGAATGGTTTCGGATACAGAAAAACATAGCTGCTGGAAGTAGCTTTACAATGTCAACACTAGTCTACGGGGGTACTAATACTATTCCTGCAAAGAGGCAGGATTTGAGGCTTTTGCTTGGTGTGCTGGGTTGCCCACTCGCCCCCATCCCTCTACTAGTGCTCAACAACCCACTTCACCGTCGTCTTCACATCAAGGACGTTCCCATTGTAAGTTTTGGATGTCATGTGATATAACTAAGATTCTTATATTATATCTTGGAGCTCGATTTTGTTTGTTAATTGTTATTGACATTAATTAATTAATTCGAGAATGATCAGGAGAATTCTGCGGCATATTATATAATACAGCAATATTTGGCAGCAACTGGGTGTTTAAAGCAGCAGCAAAAATGCACGAAAAATATGTACACGGCAGGGGTAGTGAAGATGATATGTTGCCCCACCGAGGTTTCATCAGGGAAGAACGTGAGGAGCATGAGAGGTAGAAGCAGTGGCGACAATGGATGCTTCGTTCTATGGCAGATGTCGCCAGGGATGTGGTCACTGGAGCTGGTGGTTGGTGGTAACAAGGTCCTTGCCGGTAGCGATGGCAAGATCGTCTGGAGACATACTCCTTGGCTTGGCACTCACTCTCCCAAAGGTCCCCAACGTCCCTTGCGTCGTATCATCCAGGTATATTTTGGTGGAATTGTCGACCATCCGTATATATATGATGACGTATTTGCGCAGAATTAATGATCTTCTAAATAAAATAACAATGAAAGTCATCGATTCTGAAATTACAATATATAGTTAGAGGCCGATGATAGTACCAAAAACTAATTTTTATGAGAATTCAGGAAATTTAAATCTACTCTGGATTATGTTAACATTTTCCGAAGAAGCTACTAAATGTTGCAATCCGAAGAAAAGGGTGTAATGTAGAGGACGAGTAACCATAGATAGAGAAAGGCACGTGCGATTAGCTAGGTGATGTCGTCTACAAACAATCAGCAACTCTTGGGATTGCCACTCTCATCCGTACCTTTCACTTTCACTTTCACTTTTGCTTTTTCTTTAGAATTATTGAGTAGTTCCTCAAGTCCAGCACCAGCACTTCTTTGGGAGTATCGTCAGTTGCCCCAATTTAATTTTGGGTAAAGGGCAAAACTATTTAAACTTAAAAGTTTAATTTAATTTGTTGACATAATAATGTGATTTTAATAAAATAATTAGATCAATACCAAATTTTAATGTGTGATAAAACTCACAATCAATCTAAAGATCATAGTAAATTTAGATCAATAAATTAGGTGTCAATAACATTGCTTTCGGTAAAAAAAAGCTTAAGTTTGTGTTTGTGCTTGTGCTTTTGCATACTAAATATTAATGACTTGACCTTTGTAGATCACATTGAGACAAGGGAACAAACTTAATAAATAGTTGTTTGAGGGTTTCGTCTTTGATAAATAGTACTAATTTCCAATACTCAATCTAACTTCTAAATGCGGAATATATATTTTTGGTTTAACATTTATAAAAATGAACTAGAAATGACAAAAAAAAAAAAAAAAATGAGATGTGGTGCTGATATGCTGATGCTATTAATCATATTTTTACTGATTTAAAACTCATTTGACATAAAATGATGTGTTGTTGATGCTATTAATCATACTTTTACTGATTTAAAACTCATTTCATTTTTCTTATAGATTCTATTTTTTTTTTTTTATCAATCTAACATTAACCATTTATTTATATTAGTCATGGGCATCTAAAAGGTCGGCATGTTCATTAATTGTCTTATACATGTCTCATCTAGGCTACTTACAATAATCTGATTTTTATGAATGACTAAAATTGGGCAGGGCTTAGATCCGAAGAGCACAGCAAGCTTGTTTGGCAAAGCACAATGCCTAGGAGAGAAACGAATCGGAGATGATGATTGCTTCGTGTTGAAAGTGGCAGCAGATCGTGCAGCCGTGATGGAAAGAAACGAGGGTCGGGCGGAAGTGGTAAGGCACGTACTGTATGGATACTTCAGCCAAAAGAGTGGGCTTCTCATCTACATGGAGGACTCTCACCTCACCAGAGTGCTGCAGGCACCTCCTAATTCTGAGAATGATCAAGACTTAGACACAGTCGTCTACTGGGAGACAACCATAGGAACTAGTATCCAAGACTACAGAGATGTTGAGGGTATAATGATCGCTCACCAAGGAAGGACGATTGCAACTGTGTTCAGGTTTGGAGAGATGTCAATGGAATACTGTAGGACTAGAATGGAAGAAGCATGGAGGATCGATGACGTCGTCTTCAATGTACCTGGACTTTCTTTCGATTCCTTCATTCCTCCTGCTGACATCTCTTCCGAGACCATACATTCCCCATAGATTCACTTGGCTTCACTTACTACTATCTTTTAATCACTTTTCCTGTCTTAATTTGTCTTTCCTTTCCTATCTATTCTAACTCCCTGTTCGATCGTCAATTGATTTATCTATATATGTGTAATACTCAAACTGGTTTCCCATTCGTCATTAAATGCTAAATTTCAATGCGCGCATGGAAGATGCATGAATCCATACGTCCGCTAATAAGAGATTTGTAGTTACAGTTGCTTATTTTGCTTATTCAGTGTAAAGCAAAAGTATTTTGGAGATTTACATAGACTCCATCAACTACTTTCTCCATCGTGTGGTGAACTTGACCGGAGGAAGAACAAGAAAAATAAGAGTAATACGTGAGACTGATCAAGTTGAAAACAACAATACTATTGCGACTTAATTTACTGATCTGCTGACCTAATTCACTATGATCTTTGGATTGACTGTGGGTTCCATCAAACATTGGAACTTAGTGTTAATCCAATGGTTCCAATGAAGTCACGTCATTAGGTCAGTAAATTCTATCAAATTTTTAGGTTCAAATAGTATTTTTTATTATGTAATGTTAAAGTAAAGAGCAATACTATTGGGACATAATTTGATGACTTAATGATTGTGGTCATTAGATTATCAGTGGGTCATTATCAATGGATCCCAACACTATCGATCCAATGATTATAATTCATTAAGTCCCTAAATTATGTCTCAATAGTATTAGCGTAAAGTAAAACTTAATAATTTAAGGATGATCATTTAAAACTACACACATACATGTCAAAAAGTTAATTCTATACCCAATTTATATGTCCCCACAACTCTAGATTAATCGGGATCAATTGGAGTCCCTTTTTCACTTGGTTCTTCCGAAGGGAGCTTTAGTACAGAATGGACCCTGGCAGGCTTGACATTTGTTGCAATGGTATCAAAAGACAAGAATGAGAAGGAGAGCAAGCCAAACATACAACGGATCGGAGCTGATGGGGTGACGTTACCATTGAGATTTTTTTGTAGGTGATCATAAAATGTAAATGAACAACAACATAAGCGTTATAAGAACGGTTTAACAAAGATGGAGAAATAAGAAGAACAATTTCAAAAGTGCCACCTTGGGAAGACAAAAACAAACCAAAAGAAGAATTAGCAACAGAACTAGAAGTCGCAGCAACGATTATCAATAGAGAAATTGGAGTCAATTACTTCTAGTTAAACCCACAAGACCTGAATAAGCTTTTTAAAATTTTCTTTCTCATTTCTTCTTCCTCATTGATCCTCTTTCTGAATACTCATTAACACTTTCATTAGACTCGCTTAGAGAGATAGAAATTGAAGGTGAACTTAGGTTCCAAACCTTTTCTTGATTGAAAGACCACTATTTAGGAAAATTTGGACTTGATCTTTGTCTCGATTTTGTCAAGATATATATTATTCGTGTCTCACCATTGTGTGTCACCTTATGACAGATATTTTAATGCAACATAGGTGGCGAGAATTTTAGTATTTTATTTGAACGATATCAATGTCGTTCAATTAAAGGATTTTAGAAGATTTTATTTTATTTCTTACTTTAATTAGAAAACTATTTTATTTTATTTTTTGATTCAATTGGATAAGAGACTTGTTTCAGTGTCAGGTGACATAAGAATAGAAAAGTTATGTTTACATCAAAACCACAAACGCCTCTTTCCTACTTACTAGGTTACAATAGACAACAAGAAGTCAAACTCAGTTTGAAGGTTGTGCTTTTTAACTTCAACAAATTCTATATAAGGGGGCTTAAACATGTAAGTTGATTCTAGTATAAGCCTTAGTTATGCAATTTTATGATCGTGGAAATATAGAGTTTTAGAGCTTGCATTGGAGACCCTAATGGTACACATGTATCGTGTTATACAATTTTGGTTGTAATAGGTCCAATGCTTGTGTGTACTCCAGTGTATGTGAGACCTTGAGAGAGAGGGAGTGGGGTTGGGAGACAAAAGAAGCTTGTGCATTGTATATCTTTAGAGAGTTTTCTGTGCACAAACAAAATATAAAAGGGATTAGCAAACAGAATCCAATGCGCGTGCATTGGGCATTATACCGACTTTATACACTTATAACCCTATCATTCAATACTGTATAAACATCTATTCATTCTCATGTCGTCTAGTGTAATGATTAATTCCATCAGCTTTTGATGGCAGACTCAACTTTGCCCTCATAAAGATAGAAGCTTCCTCGATATTTGCACGCATGGGAGTGCGTTGCCTTCTCTCTCTCTCTCTCTCCTCACTCTCTCACAGGGTGTTTGCGTGTGTGGAGGAGAGAGCCTCCTTGCATCTTGCAGATTCTAAAATTTTCCCTGGAACCAATATAGGTAGTTGCGCAAACATCTCCTCCACCCAAAAACTATGGTAACCGGTCTCTCAGATCTAATCCTAAACAACCAATCCAGAGGCAGAGGGGGAGAGTATTAGCAATCTGATATCAATTTATTGTCCGTAGTGAACTTTACATGAGGTATTAGCAATGAAAAGAGATTATTGAATCATATGATTATGAGTAATGTTGTTGGGACCCAAAACATTTATTTAATTTATTGATATAATAATGTGGCAGTGACATAGTCCAATAGTGTTGTGATAACAGTACCTATTAAACTTTTTCATTTAGACTTTATTATTTATTACATCATTATGTCAATAAATTAAATCACTATTTTATGATACAATAACATTGCTCTATTATTATATCCATCTCAAAAGAGGATTGCATTCTGTTATGCATGTAAGAAAAGGATGGTGTCAGAATTGTAATCTCCACAATATAGATAGTGATGGATCTCTTTGCATCCTATCATATCTCTAAACTCCAATTCCATAGAAAAATTTAGAGTACGAGATATATTGGGAATAATAAAACAAAGAAACAAAAAATAACAAAATATACGTTGTTAGACACACAAACATAAATTTGATTTCTTTCTCTCTTTTGTTCCTTTTTTTTTTGGGTAAAGGCTTCTTATTGAACTTGCTCCTCTTCACCACCCAATTAGTTGTTTACAAGGTTAGGTTTCCACAAAATGATATGTGGCTGTACCATTGCCAAATGCACAAGAATAAGAGTAAGTTTCGGCAGTGACCAGGGCCTAGCATGTTTTACACCCCAAGAATATGGAGTCATAAAGAAGGAAAAAAGGGCATAAAAGTTAGATACTCTCTGTCGCTTCTCTCTCTAAAGTTCGTTTCCATTCAAGTGAAAGGAGCTTCTAACAATCTTCCGAGCTTCTTTTATTCCCAATGACAATTAGCCTTTGTTTACTCTTTTATATTAGATAAATACTTGTGTCGCCAAAAACCCTAAACACTTTTGCTTTTACAGGTATTATGGATTGCTTTCTTATAGTTCTAATGGTTATGTTTCCAGTGATTGGTATTTAACCAACTTAATTTGACCCTTAACTAATTTACCTAAAAGAATTCGTAAGGCTGTTGCAAAGATCATTAGCAGGAAAAATGACCAAGAACCAACTTAAGACAACCAACTACACAACTTAAAATAATCCAAGGTAAAAACAAAAGGGAAAACCCCATTCGAGATGAGTTCCAAGTGTATATGATATGTATGCCATGACATATAATTAACAAATTAGATCCAAATAACATTACTCTAATTCTATACTCCAACGTTAACGAACAAATAAATGCAGCAGAATAAAAGATAGTGCCAAAGGGACAACGATATAATAGGAAGAAAAAAAAGTTCAAACGTTCTAGTCAAATGAGAGTAACCGAAGCTTTGCCATGCATGGCATCATATCCATCATAGTGGAAGTCGTTATGTGAACTTGTAAGTTCTAAGTGACGAATTCTAAAACCCTACAATTTCATATTTAAAAAAGCTTAAAATGAAATTACTCATCATGTCAAAGCTAGCTATAATCTATATATGTTTACCCGAATGGAGAGTTTCTGCCTTGTGGCATGGCACTGGTGTTAGTCACAGGGTTCATACGGTCAGTCGAAAGTGGAGCTCTTCGTGGGGAGGGCCTTTCAAGCTTTGCAGAGTTGTCAAATCTCTTTTCACCCATAGCATCACCAGTTAGTATGGGCTTCGTTTCATACATGTCGGACACACAATCAATATCATTGCCTCTATCAATTGACAGTGCTGCGATTTGAATCTCGTGATCACCTTTGAATGGATCGTCCTGAGGACCAAGACACGGTGGTGCTGTTCCCAGTTCGTGCAGACGGAGATCATCCGACCAGATTACAGGGCTCTTTCCACTGCCACCGTAAGGGCTAGGCCTCTTCTTACCCAGACACATGTTGCCATTAGTTGGCATAAGTCCATCAAGTGATGACCTTTCCATGTTTTGTTGAAGTTCAAGTTGCTCACTTCCGTATAAGTTGAGGTCTTGTAAAGATGGAAAGTTCAAAGCAGGCCCAAAATCTTTCATGGCTGATATGTCATGAACCCCTTGATTTCCAATGCCCTTATAGCTTCCTGAAGCCATGTTTTCACCAGCAAGCGTTTGACAGGCTTTTTCCAGTATTGTTTGCATGTATTTCCCTTGAGCCTCAATTCTCAGCTGAAGGTGTCTCTGTACCTAGCTCCAGTTACATCAAAACCGTCTTATATTAAGAAAAACAAAACAAAAAAACACAGACCTGCTATGCTATCTCGTTTTAACCAGTTTAGACGACAAAATAGGTAAAGTGGAATTGCATGAAGCTTTTTATGTGCTTATTACCTCTAATTGTTCGTGCAGTCTTCTCTGCACCTCCATTTGCATCCTAATTGCATCAGTCACGTGAACATTACTGCCATTGAATCACACATACCATACCAATCCACAAGAAAAATCACAACCCCCAAAAAAGAAATAGAAAACACATTTTTTTGCAATAGAACCATCTATACATGACGCCCCCCTCCAAAAAAAACCTAAAAAACAATACAAAAGTGAAAAGAAGATATAAAGAAAACACATACACAGAAAACTAAGAGAAAAGAAAGGAACAAGGAGAAACAAATAAAAAAAATTCAAAATTGCGTCGACTACACATACTCATTCATAGTACGGCCCGTCATTCCAGACGATGATGCAGTACTTCTTTGAAGTTCCAAAGCTGAAGCTGCAATTAAGATGAACTTTAAAATATGGTCGCTTGTATAGGCTCAATTATATATACTGTTAAATTTCGAAAACAAATTACAATCTCGGCTAGAAGAGTCCCCTCTCTTACCATCTTTAATTGAATGATCACTGAATTCCTTGTGAGGTTGCTTTCCGAGCCTGAATTTCTAATCAAACCGAGAGAGATAATCAGAAACCCAACAAAGTGGCAATTTAAAAGTAAAAGGTGCACGAAACATTTTCTTCTATTCAAACCTGAAGATGGCTCTTGAGATGGTAAAGAGTGAGACCCTTGACACCCATAACTCTCATGATGGTCTTTGGCGTGGCCTCTACACAGGAAATCAGGGCGAAGAAAAGTAAGAAGAATTAATGAAACGCACAAGAAACAATATACGACACAGATGATCGAAAATTGGAGAGAATATGTACTATCTGGTCCCCCAAGCTGAGTAACAGCATCGACAAAACGCTCATGAAGCTCAACCGTCCATCGGAGGCGGGGCTTTGGGTCTGTGGTGAGCACAAGCCCGGAGTCTCCTTGAACACACATGGGTCTGTCATGTGAATTCATAGTTGAAGGCTTCTTGGGATGGAACATTCTCTCTCCCTATCTCTGTCTCAGCTGCTCTGGAATACCAATAGATTCAAGAACAAATGCGATGCAAATAGGGAAGAATAGGGTGCTCTTTTGAAGAAGAGAATGGCTTTGGTTTCTCAGCTAGAAAGCACGTACGGGGGACAAACTAATCTGTTCGGGAGACCTTTTTATTCATAAAAAAAAACACCTAAACTATAAAACTAAATAAATAAATAAAAATGCACCTAATGTAATGTGCAGCCCTTCCTTTGCCAAACTCCTCATTTCTTGTAATAACAGGTTATACTTGACTACTTGGACAATCGTACGTACTGTAAACTACAATTGACAGAGAGAAAGTATCCTTAAGAGATATTCTACACACACAAAATTTGGGACTAAATATCTTATCCAAATAATGTAGCAAAATTTAAATAGCTAAATTGTTGAGCTCTATAGTTGTTGGGTGTTGAGGAGTTTCCATATCATTGGGCCAAAATTTTAGTCCAAAATAGTTGTTCCGAGAGACTCGTCTTTCAATAGTTGAAGAGAATCATAGTGCGCCTCTTTTTATCACCATAAGGAGAGTATGTCTTTATAGTGTTATTCTTTTACCTTGAGCAGCTCTTTTAACTTTTAAGTATTAAGATATGGGTGGGACTCGTCATGCAATCATGATGGCCAAGATGTCACTGACACTTTATCCTCCTGGGTTGGACCATGTACATAATACATATATATACCTGCCCCTGCATGCATATCTTGGACATTAAACACACACACACACTCTGGATGAAACGTAACATGCATGTCTCTATTCTTCTGTTTCGTAGTACGATCGCTTTTTAGGTTATCTTGCTATCATTAAGCCTATCAGCCGGGATGGTTAGAGAACAGAGTCCTGCATTTTGTCGTTATAGCGACAAAAAGTTTAATTACACCTACCAGAAAATTTTCTGACTAATATCCTACAAAAAAAATGTGAAGCTAAAAAATTTCCTTTGTTTGTTCCAAACAATGAATATGCTTCAGAACATCGTTACAAGTTTAAGAAGGGTTTTAATTACATAGTAAGACAACATGCCCGTAAGTGAAATTTTATTTTTATTTTTCCTTTTTTTTTTTAACAACCCCATGGTAGTCCTGTAGTGTTAGAAGTAGTAGTAGTTGTAATACAACAATTGCAGTAGCAACAGGTCTAAATAATCAACAACAACTAGATTATAATTTAGAATTGTACGTCCAGTGAAATTAAGGATCCTTCATTTTACAGTAAAAGGATACTAGTGAGGCTCTCGTAGTTCTGGATGGCATTTTTGTTAATATTGATGAGAAGATAGTTTATCCAAACAAACATGGGGATAGTTCTTTCGGAATTGAAAAAGCGCATGAGAACAAAATAATAAGGATGGATGATGAATGTGGCTTTAGTTAGGACCTGTGGTTTTGGTATGTGGTGAGAGAGAGGACGTGAATATCAATACATTTTGCTTTTGGTTTTTATGAATATATATAGCGGTGAAGCTTTTTATGGCAGGTGGCGGGGACCTCCCTTTCTTCTAAAGCTTCTCGGCCCTCTATCTCTAGCACTTTTGTGGAATAGAAGATTGTCCTCCCATGCATGCATGTGTCATCACACTTACTCTCTCTCTCTCTTAACCAGATCTACACTAACCAGAAAATATACAGGTTACATATTAGGGTTAAACCAAGACATTTGACAAAGGTCCCATACTCCCATCCATGGTAAAAGGAGTAAAAGAAAATCAGTAAGAACATTGTCAAGCAATTTTCTCTCTCTCTCTCTCTCTCTCTCTCTCTCTCTCTCTCACAAACACACACACACTAAAGTCCCATGCAATGCAAGTGTGTAAAATCTGATGGAGATCTGATAAATCTAAAGAAGGAAATCATATACCATTCACCTACTGAAATATGGAATAAATGCTTTCTTCTTTGACAATCAAAGGAAGATTCTTCTCCCAAATTGTTAATACCACTCATGCTTTCTTCTTATGCATTAGCTGTAGGGATTAATCTCCAATATCAAATTCATTTGCAATCACCCAAGTCCATGCATACACAAGGTTGAACTTGGCCCCACCTTCACAATTTGTCAAGTGGACCTCAGCAGTTTTCTGCTTCGTGGAGCCAACGAATGCATGCTAAGTAGATTATCAAGCTGGTCTGGGACTATACTCCAGTCCAAAATGAATATTGGAATATTAATTAAAACAGTTGTTCTATATACTAATAAGTTGCACCTACTTAGGAGTCCAATTATAATAAAAGCACATCACTTGTTATATTCCGAAATTCCTCGTAAAACACTGTGTTGGAGGGGCTGTCCCATTCTAAAAGCATTCAAGCAAAAGTTAAGGCTTAACCTTTAGTTCATAATTAATGTTTCAAAAACATAAACTAATGGAAAGTGGGGTTGGATTAGATGTAGGGGCATGTTTGCTTGAATTTCAAGCATCCATATGCTTTACAGAATTTATTCTTAACGATGAATATATTCTTTTGACGGTGAATATGTGGGACCTCCCATGTAGAATACTTTACCACCCTCTTCCTTTTCTATCTCTAGTATTCTTTTTTTGTGCAATGTATATCTTTTCGTCCCGGAAGTGAATGCCTATCAATTTGTATCATTCATTAAGGTGAGTGTGACCAAAAAATAAAATGTATGAAAAAATTATTTTTTTTAGTTTAACGGTCAAGAGTGTATCTGTCAACTCACTCAACTAAATCTCTTTTCCGGCCTAGTCAAAGACAGACCATGTATGTCAGGATATTTTGCCTCAAGGGTTGTCAAGATTCAAACTCAAGACGTCTGAATTTAAATTCGTTCATGTCACTACTTGAACTATCCCTTGAAGTTATAAAATCATATTAAAAGCTCCAGAGTTGCAACTCTTGATAGATTGGGCGAGTTTAGAGGTCAACCTGAATGCAAGCCAAATTATAAAATCTTCCATGTTTTGTCTAGACTTAGTTTAGGTTAATCGACCCAAGTTATATCCATACTCTCCAAGAACCCTCATGCTCTACCTTTTTACCTCTTTCTTTCTTCCTTGCCAATTTTGAAAATGAGAATCACTAGGAACATTATAATGATAGTGGTGTTTACTCTGGGAGATTAGATTATGTCCTGAATCGACCAAAGGCTCTCCAAAAATTTATGGACGGACAGGTATGGAGATTGTGATCTAATAGGTGTCTTTGCCAATCCATTAATGTCACAGAATCTGGAGATGATATCGATAGAATGCAAATGCCGAGTCAACTCAGAATTGGGCCAGATGGAATGGAACCATTGACAACAGAATCTGATTCCTGCCTGGACCATTTTTTATTTTATTTTATTCCTTTTTCAGTTTGTCTCTTGGTCTTCTTTTTATGTGCTCTCTTTGGTGGGGTTATCTCTCTTTTATTTATTTACTACGAATGCGTCACCTGCGTTGTAGGTAAATAATTTTTGTATACAAAAATTATTATTTTTTAAAAAAAAAAAAATTTTGGGAGGGGAGAGAAAGGGGAAGGGGGAGTTGAATCCTTGATCTCAAGAAAACAAAGTCTTCACAAGGCAAGAAGTACCATTAAACTAAAGACCCATTGGTAAACTTTCATAAGGTAAGGAATACCATTTGTATACAAAAATTAATAAAATATATTAAGTATATATGTATTTGAATTAAATATCATCTCAAATTTATAAATTTTAATTTTTTATTGTTTATATTTTATTATAAGATTATGAAAATTTTATATTTTACCAAAAATTATTTGTTCTAACTATAAAAAAAATAGTTAAAGTCCTATATTTTTAGAATTTTGTGATTAAGATTGATTTTTTTAGTGATGTTTGAGAAATTAAATTTCTTGAAATTCATTTGATTAGGATTTCAATTATAATTCATTGAAAAAAATAAAAGTAATTGTTAATATACTAATCATATTAGAACCTTACTACAATTAAAAATAAGTTATGTCAATTAGAATAAAATTTAATACTACTCTATAATTTATATTATCAAATATCTTAAAATTCTAAAGAATTCAAATTTTACTTAAAAATACATTACGATATTTATTTTTATAAAAAAAATCTTAGTACAACTTATAAAGTTTAGAGTAAATTACACTGACATTCCTACAGATTGGTCTAATTATAGAGACACCCCTCAATTTTTTGAAATTACACTAACATCCTTTGCTGTTTACCTACTCATTTCACAAAGTATTCTTATGGTTAGCATCGTTATTGACAATGTCAAAAAAGTGATTACATCATCAACTTTTTTATACTTTAATACTCCTATTACCCCTAAATAAAATTAGTTTAACCTATTTATTTTCGTATCGTATTCGTATTCATGTTTCTTTTTTATATCGTAAAACCTCTCCAAGGTAAGGTCACTTTTGACCCATTCTTGCGAGAATAAACCACGAATACTTGCAATTACCCGCAAACCACATATATCAGTTAAGTCCGAGAGGCACCAGCGAAAGTCAAACCCCTGACGTTCGGGTCTACGGTTTGTCTGGGTTTAACTCCACATCGTTGGGCTACTCGTGCAAGTGTGTTCATATTTGTGGTGACTCATATAAACTTTAAATAAAAAAATTTAACGTTAAGATTTAAGTCTAAAGTTCTATTATTACTTAATTGAATTCATTCTCATACTTTTTCTATAAAGAAAAAATTAACTTAATAAACATAACAATAAAAATGAGTAAAAATATCTTTTTTATACAATAATTATGTTAGTGCTTAATAAACAACAACAAATAATTAATATTTTATTTTTATAATATCAATTAAACATATGTATCATTGCAATTCTTTGTTGTTCGTTTTAACATATAAACGAGAAAATAGAAAAAATTTGACACGATTAAATAAAATGGGTTGATCATGTCAATTTTAAGTTTGACAGATTTAACCAGAAAATGACTCATTTATTAGTATTTAAATATATGAGAGGATGATAAGTAAAAAATGATGTATGGTAAGGGTAATTATGAAAAATTGCATTTTTTTTTATATTTGTTAAGGGACAAGACCTAACATGGGGTATTAGTGCAATTTCAAAAATTGAGAAGGTGTCCCTGTAATTAGACCAATCTACGTGAGTGTCAGTGTAATTTATCCTAAAATTTATTGTAACTGAAGAATTATATTGATATAACATAAATTAATTTTAAAAATTTTATATATGATTATTTTTTATCTTAAAAATGAAAAAGTTCAACTTTTCAATGAAAAATAAAATGTATATATTTATCCGTATCGCGCAAAGTTGGTTGACGCCAGCTGTAATGTTTGAATATAAGGGACCAACCAAGACCCCTAAGAAAGCTTTTTTCGATAAAGCAAACGACTCGTTACGACTACTTCAAACCAGATTAAGTCCTTTGAATCAGCTGATCTTATAAGATCGATCTGGTGGGCAAGCTGGTTAGGAAGGAGTGATTAGCGGAGAAAAAAATCGTTGAGAGATAGATTCTACTATTTGATCAGGATGGATGAATGGCTGTGAGGCATGCTCCGAAGGATATATATATACTATTTATTGTTTATGTCTAAAGGCACAGAGTAATAAAAAATGGTAAACAATAAATATATTTGTATTCATATCCAAAATTAAATCGCAAATATAGAGAAGAGATAAAAAAATTTAAACATCGATTATAATGAGGATAAGAGATAGTGAGCGATAATGGTGGTGATAGGAGAGAATAATAATTGTGGTGGCGATAATGGTGGTGGTAATGACGACAGCGACAATGTTGGTGGCGGCGACAACAGCGGTGGTGGTAGTGGTGGAGGTGGAGGTGGAGGTGGAGGTGGTTGTGGTAGTGGTGGTGGTGGCGACGGCGACAGATGTGGTGGTAGCGAAGGTGGTGGTGGTGGCGATGGGGGGTGGCGGTGGTGGTGGTAGAAGTAGTGGTAGAGCGGTTCAAAATAATATTTTTAAAAAACACTTTTAAAAAATTGGTGGTAGAGGTAGTACTTTAAAAAACACTTTTAAAGTACTTATGAGAAATAATTCTTAAAAACACTTTTAAA